CTTTGTATGTCATTTTCACTAAAGAAAAATGTAAGCAAAAGTAAACATATTCATGGCTAGGTATTTAGGTTAAAATTTATATTGATTCTTGCAATTTATTTTGAAATGCCTCAAGAAATAATGTGAATTGGCAAATGACTAGAGAGATAAACACATATTTACATAAGAACAGACAAATGTTAATGGTAGTTTCTATGTCCAGCTAGATCTAGGGGACATTGGTGCTCATGGTAAAATTATTTCAGCTTTTCTTTATGTTGGAATCTTTCCAAAATTAGATATCAGAGAGAAAGGATTACCTCAACTGCTGAGGAAAGGATGAATCTTAGGAGAACAAGAGTGGAAGTGGGAGGCAATTTTGGTAGAGGAGAGAGAGAGAGAAGGAAAGCCTGCACTGTGGGGGGTGACAGTGGACATGGGGATAAGCAGGATTGGTATAGCATTCAGGGGTGGAAGTGAGATATAGTAGTGATGCATTGGAGACGGTAAATGAGAAAGAGGAAAATTAGCAATGACAGCTGGAATTTGATTTCATACCGCTGGAGAGATGGTTGTGCCTTTGCAGTGATACAGAAGACTGAGAGACAAGTAGGTTTGAAATGTGAGCAGGATGAAATCAAGAATTCTCTCTTAGATTTATGTATCAGGTTTGAGATACTATGCAACATCTCAATGGAACTGTCAGTTAAGTAGTTAGGATATGTTGGAGGGCAGAAGAGAGATCTAGACTAGAGAAATATTAATGGAAGTCATTAAGAAAATACCAGCTGTTATAGACTGAATTGTGTCCCTCCCCTGCCCAGATTCATGTTATGAAGCCTTAACCCCCAAGGGGACTGTATTTGGAGATAGGACCTTTAAGCAGAAAATTAAAGTTAAATGAGGTCATAATCCAATAGGACCGGTGTCCTTACAAGAAGAGAAAAAGACACCAGAAATACGAGGAGGGCCCCTCCCCCCAAACAGAATTTATTTATAAAAAATATGTATTTATTCTTACATATTTTAACTTCAGTCACCTTCAAAGGACTCTTCATTTGATGTAATACACCTAATGAAATGCTTTTTACACTGTTTGAAATAGTTTTTTAACTTAGTTTTGATGCCATTTAGTGATTGTGGTATTTTTTGTTTCACCTCTTCCACATTTGCAAGACATTTTCCTTTGAGAAGTTTTTTCATCCAGGGAAACAAACAAACAAAAAAAGTCGCTGGGGGAGAGTGAGTGAATAGGGAGGGTGGGCATGGTGCTCATGCTATTTTTGGTCAAAAGTTTCTGAACACTCCACGAAGTGTAGACAGGTGCGCTCATAAATCACCCATCATGAGATGGGCAAACGGCACTGAAAGAATAAAAAAAAAAAAAAAAAATCACCGAAACTGAATACAGTCTCTCACAACAATGCTAGCTGCTAGCTGGTACACTGATGCTGGATGAGTTCCTAGAACTAGCAGGGGAAGCTTATACTATAAGGGACCCTCCCTCCAAAAATAAATTCTGATTTTCTTGAGTACACAGAGAAAAGGCCAGGTGAGGACACAGTGAAAAGGCAGCCATCTACAAACCAAGGTCAGAGGCTAGAAACTACCTCCTGGCACCTTAATCTTGGATTTTCAGCCTCCCGAAGAGTGAGAAAATAAGTTTCTGTAGTTTAAGCCACCCAGTTGGTGGTATTTGTTATGGCAACCCTTACAAACTAATACATGTACCATGCCATTTAAAGCCATGAAAATGGATATCATCACCTAGGAAGCAAGTGTAAGAAGAGAAGAAGGATCAGCTTTGCGTCGAGGAATACCACTACTAAGTGGTCAAACAGGAGAAGATGAAGCAGAAAAGGAGACTGCTGAGGTTAATGGGAAACTGACAGAGACAGTCATAAAAGTCAAGAGAAGAAAATATTTTAATAGGGAAGAAACATCTGAGTTGAATGCTGTTGATAGATTGGGTAAGTTGATGAGGAAAAGCATGCTGATGGCAACAATGGCAATGTCAGAGGTGTGTGTGGCAACATTCACTAAAAGCAAAGCTATACAGAAAGCACCCAAAACAGATTGCGAGGAAAACAGTACTTATACACAAACAATCATACAAAAAGAATGCTATCTATAACATATAAAGCACTGCTGTAATTTAATAAGAAAACTGAACAGTGAAAATGAGCAAAGGATATGATAAAGAAATTCTTTTTTTTTTTTTTTTTGAGTTGGAGTCTCACTCTGTCACCCAGACTGGAGTGCAGTGGTCACTCCCAGCCACCGCAGCCTCGACCTGCTGGGCTCCAGTGATCCTTCCGCCTCAGCCTTCCAAGTAGCTGGAACTACAGGTGCGCACTACCATGCCCGGCTAATTTTTGAGTATTGTAGAGAGGAGGTTTCGCCAAGTTGCCCAGGCGGGCCTCAAACCCACGCACTCAGGCAATCCACTCATCTCAGCCTTCCAAAGCGTGGGATTACGGGCTGAGCTACCAAGCCCGGCATAAAGAAATTTTTAGAAGAAATGCGATACTCAGTCTCACTCATATTAGGGAAATGTCAATTAACAACAGTGAGATATTTTTTTCTCTTTAGATTGTAAAATATGGAATGCTTCATAATATCCAGAGTATGCAAGGATACTGTCATATTATTGGTGACTATGTAAAGCCTTTTTGAAGGATAATCTAGTGATATCCATAAAAATAAGACTTCTACATCTGTCTTCCATTAATATTACTTCTAAGACTATGAACAGTTTACACTTACATAAGGTGTGCAAGATTATGTCTTATGTCACCAAATCTGACATCACTGATTAAAAGATGCATCCCAATTCCAGAGATATTAAAATGTGAAAATAAGTATATTTAGAATTGATGAAATACAGTATTAAAATAATATTCATTACAGCTTTGCCCAAAATTGACAGATAATACTTGATTTTAAATTTCCAGAAAAAGATCACTGTAGATCTAAATGTACTGATATGGAAACATGGCACTACCATTAAGTGAAAGCAATAAATTTGCAGAAGAATATTTATAGTATAATTCTATTTCTAGGACAATATTAATATATGTCTATGTTTGTAGTTTCATTTTAAAATACTGGCAGGGTAAACACCAAATAGTGGTAATCTCTTGGGTGCAGCATTGGCATGGAGGTAAAATATATCTTTTCCTTTTATTATATACATAAGAATATTTTTTAAACAAAGATCACATGATTTTTTGTAAAATATAAAATGTCTTTTTATTTTAGCCTGAACAATCTTATTTTAGTAAAGTTAAGTACTTGGGAATATGATAGTACAAGTTTAACACCTTCTTTAGCATTTGGAATTAAATTGAGAATTTCAGTTCCAAGGCTTGTAAATCTGTGGGGTTTGTTTCCAAACCTAGATCTGAATGAATTCAAATAGATTTGAACTTTTTAACTTATCAGTTTTGAAGTCATTTAGTTTGTGGTGTTTTTTGTTTCACCTCTTCCATATTTGCAAGACATTTTCCTTTGAGAAGTTTTTTCATCCAGGGATTTATAAGATTTATAAGAGTGAGATTTAGGTGGTATTTGATACTGTGGTGATGAGGTGGAGAAGCAGGGATACCATTTTGAGGCAGAATTGTAGAATTTGAAGAAATCATGGGAATTTCACCTGCAATTAAATATTGTATAATTGCCATCCTTTAAATTCAGGAAATAGAAGCACTGAGATACAGGACATGGAACTCTTTGTGGAGCTTCAGCCGCTAGACTTCTTATGCCCATGGGTACCAATGATCACGGATGTCATGCATTTGGCAGCTACAGCTGACACTGAGAGCAGTAGATCAACCTGTTGGTACAGGAAAAGGTAGCTGCCTCAGGACTCACATTAGAGAACCGGGATGAGAAATTAGTTAGGTAATGTTCAAGATACCTGAAAATTAAAGGTTTGGCCGGTGCTGTGGCTGTAATCTCAGCACGTTGAGAGTCCGAGGCGGGAGAATTGCCTGAGCCTAGCAGTTCAAGACCAGCCTAGACAACATAGCACCTCATCTCTGCAAAAAAAAAAAAAAAAAAAAAAAAAAAGTTAGCTGGGCTGCTGGGGAGGCTGAGGCGAAAGGATCGCCAGGGCATAGAAGTTGGAGGCTGCAGTGAGTGAGCCATGATCAAGGCTTTGCACTCCAGCCTGGGACTTGGAGAGGGAGGGGGAGGGTAAAGAATGAATGAAGAGAGGAGGGAGAAAAGGAAGGTTTCGATTAAGATTAGTTTAGCCAATTGTCTTGTCCTTTCCAATTCTGAGATGCTATGCAACAGAGACCATAAATCAAATGCCTGCCCGTGCCAAGCAGGTGATTCAAATTAGTGAATCGGTGAAGTGTCTGTTGAGCTAAAGGGAGCGCCTATCCAGTCGAATATCCCTTTGATAATGTGGGTTCCATCCTACCCTTTTTCAAGAAGAGAAAATACAGGTTTTTATGCAAAATTCCTTATCTTTAAATTACAGCAGATGAAAATGCAAAGAGAAACACTAGTGCAGGAGTCGCGCTGGAGGAACCTCCAAACTCCGCGCTGTGAAGTTGACCGCCTCGGCGCGGTGGGCGGCCGGCTACGATGTCTGCAGTGGGGCGGGTGAGCGCGGCGGGGAAGGCCGGAAAATCAGCCGTGAGCCGGCAAGGATTGTAGAGAGGAAATTCTGTTTCAAAGTATCAGTCGGCTTTCACCTATAGCAGTATTTGAAATTTACACCACGCAGCAACACTTAAAAACTCAGCTCTCTCGTCCCCCACGCCACAGAATTACACCCTCCGGGAGCGCTGCCAGCGGGCGCGATCCGGAGCTGCCCTTTGATGGGAAGTTGTGCCACCGCCTGGCAACCCCCGAGGGCTTCGGGTGGGGTAAATAAATGGCTTCGCTTCTCTAAGCGGCCGAGAAGAAAAAGTTTCCTCCGCGCCAGTGAGGGAGAGTTCTCGGCCGGAAGTTTCGCTTTCGGGCCTGAGCGCTTCCTGTTTGGTAACTAAGGACGCGGAACGGTTGCTAGGGCTCCGGTCGCTGGGACCGCGGAGCGCTGCCGGTGCCTGGGGCTGACTGCAGCGCTGCTCCTCCGCGGCGCGACAAGGCGGATCCTCGCTCTGCACCCTGTCTGGGGTTCCCCATCCGTTTGCGGCCATGAGTAGCGAATTCCTGGCGGAGCTGCGTTGGGAGGATGGGTTCGCCATCCCGGTGGCGAACGAGGAGAACAAGATACTGGAAGGTCAGGTGAGGATCAGGTGAAGAAGGCGGGGGAGGGCGGGGAGAGATTGTGTGGGGGGCGGGGGGAGGGTTTGCTGGGGGCGCTTTCTGGTCGGCAGTACATTTATTTCTCTCCATGTCTTTCCTAATCCCGTCCTTTCTCTAACACGCCTCCGCACCATCTCCTTCCTCTCTTACCCTGCCTGCCCTTTTTGGCCATTGTTAAGCACTTTAAAATTGCATCGAAACAATCATTGACATTCAGGATTATAAAGCGCAAACCGTGACTCCTTTCCTCTCGTCCCCTCATTTCCAGCCTCCAGGGCAAGAGAGGAAAGGCTGGTTCCCACGCGCGTTGCTCCCTTTCTGGTAAACGAAGCGCTCCTGGGGGCAGGGACTTCTGAGTTGTGGGTAGCAATGGTTATTTGCTCGGGTTTATAAACAGAGCATGTTCTGGTTGATATTTCTTTGTGAGTTTCTGTCCCTGATGTTTAAAGCTGAAAGTGACTTGGGGTGTTTTCAAGGGAAACATTCCAGTAAAAATGTGAAATGTGCAGTTTATAGTTTTTCAAAAGGAGGATTAAGTTGTCACAGATGGAATATAAAATATTTTATGTTGTAAAGACGAATTTATACCCGCTACAGTTAAGAGCAGTTGTTAACAGAAATTGCAACCGGCTCAGCAAACTTTAAAAAACTTTTATCAGTCAGTCTAAAGTTCCATCACATGGTGACATGTTGTGTAGAAGAGGGTCCAAGAATAACTGATGATGCTTACACAACTTTACAGACTAGAACCGAAAATTTTCTCATTTCTGAACGTTGAAAATGAAAATTCCTTGACTCTACCTTTTGAAAAAAATTGGAAACACTTTTCCAAATATTTTAATCTATTTACTCATGTCTAATTTTGAAGGCTGCATTCCCCCCCCCCCCAAAGGGGCAACATTAGGAAATATAAGAGAGCTAGCACTGATTATTGAGAAATTAATATTAAATATCCGGCCCTGGGTTCAGATGTTGCTTACCAGCCCTGGTGCTGTTTCAAATCTTCTGCAAAATGAAGATAAGCAGAATAATTACCTCACAGGGTTGTTACAAGTCTCCAAAGACATAATGTAGAGTAAATTCCATTCAAATGTTAGTTTTTATTGTTGCCATAATATGCATCTCACAGGATTTTATATACATATTATTTATATTAATTATCTTAAAAAATTACAGAGCAGTAAAAAGAAGAAAAATGAACTCCACAGTTGCCTTACCCAAATAGACCCTGACATTAAAAAGCAATTATTGTAAATTTAAGATATTCAAACAGAATAGAAGGATATAAAATAAAAAATGTAAGATATTCCCTCCCCAAAGTACCCACTGTTGACTGTAGAAGTGAATATCATAGCATATTAAGCAAACATATCAGACATCTTGTTATACATCTATACAGAAAGAACAGACAGAAAGAGTATTATAAAAATAGGATCTTATTATATATGCTGTTTTTTAACACAAAATATTAATTTGAGAGAAAAAAATAAAGGAATTGTTGAATTTCAGATAAATATTACTTGATCACAAGAGGTTCTGATTGTGAAAAATTAAGTTCATTGCCTTAGGTGGGCACAGTTTGTGGCTTCCCAAAAGATCACTGATCACCACAACAGAAATAATGATAATGAAAATATTTGAAATAGTGCAAGAAGTCCCAAAATGTGACACAGAGACAGAAAGTGAGCACATGATGCCGAATAGACTTGCTGGATACAAGGTTGCCACAAACCTTCAGTTTGTAAAAACAAAACAAAACAAAAAACCCTACAGGAAAACCACACACACACAAAAAATCTGAGAAGCTTAGTACAATGAGGTGTGCATATAATTATTCCTTTATCTTTGATGAAATAGTTTGCATCTCCCTAAGAAGGGTGTTTGAGAGGTAGACACTCTGAATCTTTAAATCATTGAAAATGACTTTATCCTCACATTTTATGGTGGTTTGGCTGGGTAAAAGATTCTAGATTCAAAATAAGTTTTCCTTAGAATTTGGAATTCATCTATTATTTTCCAGCAATGTTGTTGGTGAATAATCTGATATTAGTCTAATTTCCATTTTTTTTTTTGGTAGATTACCTTAAAAAAAAATCTCCGGAAGCATTTAGGATTTTGTTTCATCTTTCTGTTGGATGTTTTATTTTGGCAACTGTATTGATGAGTTCTTTGCTTGTTACTTTTTTGTAGTACTATGATCTTGTTTTAGGGGGAAAATATCTTGTCCAATCTCTTATTGTGTCTGTGTGTAACATGAGTGTGTTTAGTTCTGTCTTTTATGTCTTGAATTATTAGTTTCCTCTCGGATCTTTTTTGTTTATTTTGGTATCCTGCACATTATGTAAATTTTCAATAAATGTCTGACGATCATTTTATGTCCCTTTATATTTGGGAAAGGAACTATAAAATATTGTTTGGCAGCCCTATGGGGTAGGGTTTGTCAACTTGTAAAGAGTTAATCATTATGCTTTCATGAAAAAATCAGGTTTGCTCTGGTGACATTATGCAATGATAAAAGGTATAATTGATGATGCAAATAAAAGTCATAAAGCTGTATGCACCAAACAACACAATAGCCAATCACATAAAAGCAAGAGCAATTATAAATGCAAGTATAACTTGGCAAAAATACAGTTATGGTGAGATGTTTCATTAATGAACTCCTCAGAATTAGACAACTGTAACTGACAAAAATAAGGATATAAAGGACATAAATGATACAATAAAAAATAACATAGCGTGTGTCCCTTGAATAGAGAATATACAACTTAAAAATATGTCCATAAACACTTATAAAAATGGATCATGTACTATACCAAAGCAGAAACCTTAATGTATTAAACGTGAATGATGAACCTTGAAAGCATTTATGCTAAGTGAATAAGCCAGACACATAAAGACAGATATCATATGGCTGCACTTATATGAGGTACTTAGAGTAGTCAAATTCATAGAGACAGACAGTAGAATGGTGGTTGACTAGGACTGAGAGGAGGGGGAAATGCATAGTTAGTGTTTTATGGGTATAGAATTTCATTTAGGGAAGATGAAAATGTTCTGAGGACGGATGGTTGTGATGGCTGCACACAGTGTACATGTACTTATTGCCACTGAATTGTACACGCAAAAATGGCAAAATTTGTGTTGCATCTATTACTACAATCTTAAAAATTTTATAATCCTTAAAATGCTATACAATAGAAATTTTATTGATAAAAATGTAATTCTTCAGTTGAATTAAAAATGATTCTCTATCTTAAGTACTTAGGCATATTTCTCAGAAATATTTTTGAGTGATCCTTATATCAAAGAGAAATTGAGAGGAAAAATAATTTTTTAGAAAACAATGCAAGGAGATGGTTTCACATCTGGATCCACGGGAAACAGCAAAAATCTTACTAAGTAAAGAAAACTTACAGCCTTAAATGCCTTTATTATTCAACCAGTGAGGCAAAAAGTAAAGAAACTAAGAACCCATCTTAATACATTTTTTAAAAGCAAAGTAAACAAGGAAAGGAGTTAAAAATAAAAATGGAAATTAATGACATAAAAAGCAAAAATATGTATTTAATATTAATTTGTAAGTTTAGTAAAATATAGGACATAACAACTGAGTGCATTAGTGTTTTCTTAAAGACAAATTTAATACAGACTATGCATATTATTATTTCAGTAGTTTGTTTTCTTTTAATAAAAATTCTAGACGGGGTGTGATGACTCATGCCTGTAATCCCAGTACTTGGGGAGGCCGACACGGGAGCGTTGCTTGAACCCAGGAGTTCAAGACCAGCCTGGGCAACATAGCAAGACCTCGTTTCTACAAAAAATAAACAAAATAAACTAAATTAGCCAGGAGTGGTGGCATGCCTGTAGTCCCAGCTACTTGGGAGACTGAGGTGGAAGGTTCACCTGAGCTCAGGAAGTTGACGCTCTGGTGAGCCATGATCGTGCCACTGCACTCCAGCCTGGGCGACAGAGTGAAACCCTGACTCAAAAAAACCATTCTAATATTTCATACTTAAGTGGATTGTGTTGTGTACCTCCGGGACTTATCTGTAACTTTGGGGACTGTAGTGCAGAACTATAAGGAAGCAAATTTTTATTTTGTTGAGCTTTTATGCAGCTTTCAGGGTGACATACTCTAATCATCCTGAGAATCTGTCTCATAATTTCCCAAAGGTTTATTTTGTCTGTTTGTTTAGCATTTACATGGTTTTGTTTCTACTCAGAGTTCTAATTCAAAAGTAAACAAACTACATTAAGAAATGGTTCTAAGCACATAAGAGTTAGTTGTTCTGTTGAGTTTAAATCTATGGGTTTTGCAAAGGAGTTCTGAGAGAAGAAATTATGCCTGGTGCCTAGCCACTATTCAGATTTATGGTTTCCTCACTGTTTTTGTTACATCTTGTTGGTTTGTTCTTGTTTGCTTAAGACATCTTATGATTTCATTACAGAATAGAATCTCATTTTTGCCCTATAAAAACATAGTATTGCTGTATGAAAAATACATTTTAGCAGTGAATCCTGCTACTGTTGCAAATCTAAGATTTCTGTTCTGTGCAATATGGTACTAATTTTCCCACAGTCATCTCTAAATTATAGCACTATTTTTTAATGTTTAAAAGATCAGTAGATATTAGAAGTTCATGCAGACATTTAAAGAAGCAAAGTGCTATGTACTGAATGTCTGTGTACTCTTAGAAATTTTATGGTAAAATCCTAATCCTCAATGTGATAGTATTTGGAGATGGGGCCTTTGAGAGGTAAATAGGTCATAGAGGTATAAGCCATATGAGTGGTATTAGTGCCCTTATGAGGAGAGACAAGAGAGAGGGGGATCTTTCTACCATGTGAGGATGTAGCAGGAAGGCATCTGTCTGCAAATCAGGAAGAGGGTCCTCACCAGGAAGCGCAGCAGCCACCACCTTGATTTTGGACTTCCTAGCCTTCAGAATAGTGAAGAATGCATTTGTTGTTTAAGCCACCCAGTCTATGGTATTTTTGTCATAACAACCCAAATTGAATAAGACACAAATAGAATGATGACTTAGTTTTCTTTTGATTTTAGGTCTTTCATATGGTAAAACTGAACAGGACTTTGGTTAATCATAGCATTTATTATTTACAGTTGTCAAAGCTGCAGGATGAAAGAGCAAGCTTGCAAGATCAGTTACATGACTATGAAGATCGAATAAATGCTATGACTTCTCACTTCAAAAATGTTAAGCAAGAGTTCTTATTTACACAGGTACAATAATATTGAAACTTATGTTGATTATGTCATGTGTAGCCATAGAACATTTCACAGTTCATTTTCATCTGTAATTGTATTGTGGAGCCATGATAGGGAACGTCAGCATAATAAACTATTGTGAACATAAACTTTAACCTGAAAGCATAGACAGCAACATGCTTTGAGGAACTAAGTACTCTTATCAATTTTAAACAAAAAATTAACTTCATATGAAAGGAGAAATTATCATTCAAATAATCTATATCAGACATTAGCTTATTTGAGAAGGGTACAATGATGGCAGTGATAAATGACTACTATAAGCACAAACAGAGCTAATATAATACATAATAAAGTTATGTTTCCTTTAAATTTTTCACTCCCCCTGGGGACAATCAGAGTAGAGACTAATAGTCTGCACACATGGTGTTTAAGCATAGTTCAATAATTGAAATTACTAGTAAGAATCCTGAGGTTAGGAGACTTTAAGGTAACTGGGGAAAGTGTAATGCATTTTAGAGATAGTAACACAAATAGAGTAACAATTAAAACGTAGAGTGATTAAGAAAGCTTCTGTTTTATGAATAATCTATTTAGTTTAGAAACTCACTCCTTGAAGCCCAGAAAACCAGGCAAATCTGCACTGGAAAGTTTTCTAACATTATTTGTTTTTACTTTGTTATAAAGATGTGAGGTACAAGTCAGGATCAGGCACATAAGTAATCTATGTGCAAGTAAAGTTCAGGCCTCTGAAGTTCCCCTGGTTTAGGACCATGTACCCTGTTTTTTTAAATGCATCTATTTTCGAGACAAAGTATGTAATTTTTGAAAATCAATAGCACCATGGCTTGCATGGTTTATAAAAGCAGTTTATAATCAATGTAGGTAAGTATTTCATGGTTTACAGTCTCATTAGAAAGTTATAAATGTAATAAACTTTGCAAACTAATATTCAGGATTCTTGAATCTTGATATGATTAATCGGTAAGCTATTTGGAACAACACTTTCCCTCCAGTTATTAAACTACTGTTTGGGGTTGGAAAGACAGCGGCTCTCTATAGTTGTATCTTATTACCATCTAATCTTGGATAAATAAGATAGGAGATACAAAAGACAATAAACTTCCTACAGTTCTGATAACTTTAGTACTGAAAAATTAATGCAGATAGATAACTTTGAAGCACTATAAGGTCGGTAGTCAACAAATACCTTTTTTTTATAATCAATATTTTTTATTATGATGTTGTGGGGTACAGTTAAGGGTTAGGTATACAAATACACTTCATTCAGGCACCCTATTGATAAGAGGTGCTTCCCCATCCCCAGACAGATATTTGCTACCGTTACTCCCATCTCCCCCCTCCCATAGTTTCCCACCACTGTCAGTCATTTTCTTATACTATTAGGTTGGATGTTCAATGTTCATTATATGAGTGAGAATATGTGACACTCGGACCTTTGTTTTTGTGAGAGGTCACTCAGTATTATAGACTCTAGTTCCATCCAGGTTGCTGCAGAATTCTTGATTTTGTTCTTTTTTATGGCTGTGTAGTATTCCATCGTGTATATGTACCACATTTTTTTAATCCAGTCCTCTTTTGATGGGCAGTATGGTTGCTTCCAGGTTCTTGCTATTGTGAACAATGCTGCGATAAACATATGTGTGCAGGTATCTTTTTTATAGAGTGATTTGAGTTCTTCCGGATATATTCCCAGTAGGGGGATTGTGGGGTCATATGGGAGATTGATATTTAAACCTTTTAGGAATCTCCACACTGCTTTCCACAGAGGTTGCACTAGTTTACACTCCCACCAACAATGTAGAAGTGTTCCCTTTTCTCCACACCCTCTCCAGCAGCTGTTATTTTTTGAGTTGTTGATAATTGCCATTTTGACTGGAGTTAGGTAGTATCTCAGTGTGGTTTTGATTTGCATCTCCCTGATGATTAGTGAGGTTGAACATTTCTTCATATGTCTGTTGGCTGCTCAGATGTCTTTCTTTGTGAAGTGTCTGTTCATGTCTTTTGCCCATTTTATAATGGGGTTTTTTTTTTTTTTCTCAGCAAGTTTGAGTTCCTTGTAGATCAAAGATGTTAAGCCTTTGTCTGACCTGGTGTTGGCAAATACTTTTTCCCAGTCTGTAGGCTGTCTCCCTGCTCTCTTGATGGTTTCTTTGGCTTTGCAGAAGCTTGTCAGTTTAATAAGGTCCCACTTGTCTATCCTCTCTCTTATGACCTGCGGGTTTTGGGTTTTGTTCAACAAATACCTTTTATTAAATAAAACTTAACACAAAGGCATGATTGTATGCTAATACATTCTAGGGAATATTGACAACCAACTACGTTTAAATAACTATTTAAAAATTACATCTGTTGGCTGGGCTTGGTGGCTCAGCCTGCAATCCCACAACTTTGGGAGGCTGAGGTGAGTGAATTGCCTGAGCCAACTGGTTTGAGACGAGCCCTGGCAACTTGGTGAGACCTCATCTCTACAATAAATCAGAAAATTAGCTGGGCATGGTAGCACATGCCTGTAGTTCTGGCTACTTGGAAGGCTGAGGTGGAAGGATTTTCACAAGAGCCCAGCAGGCTGATGCTGGGGTGGCCTGTGAGTGTGCCACTGCACTCCAGCCTGTGTGATGGAGTGAGAATCCAACTCAAAAAAACCAAAAAAACCCATCTGTTAAGTAGACTGTGTGGTCAATTCATATAAAATATCTCATTTCACAGCTTTTAAATCGATATTTTTTATTTGTAGATAAGTAATATTATAGCTCTTATGTCTAACCGTATAAACTTTTGTTTTCTTTAGTTTTCCTAGGGCAACACAATATCTAAAACTGCTGACAATATTTTTTCTAGCACAGTTCATTGACTTTCTTACTAGTGAGCAATACCAACGACATGGTAATTACAGTCTAATGTGATGAAGGTTTCAGAATGGTAGGCTTAATAGGGCTTAATCTCAGCATTTTGTGAGAACTTTGTGGTTTTTTGGTCTAATAGGTTGTCATAAATATTCTTAAATATTAAAAATTTAAAAGTCTTTCTGCCTTTTGTATTATTCCACAGTGTCTCTATAAGGCAAGGGAGCATGAGATTGAAAGTGAAGAACATTTTAAGGCCATTGCTCAAAGAGAATTGGGACGAATGAAAGATGAAATCCAACGACTGGAAAATGAGATGGCTTCAATCCTGGAAAAGAAAAGTGATAAAGAAGTATATGTTGAGATGTTGTTGCTTGAAATTCTGTGCTGCTGCTCCTTCTTCCCTCACCAAACGAGCATTGATTTTTTTTTTTTTTTTTTTTGGTCTGTATAGGAAAGGCTTTCGTTAGTTTCCTGGTATTTATTTGCATTGTTTTTGGACAATGAAAGTCACATGAAGCTGTAATTTAAATGAAACAATAATAGAATATTATATTTTCCCCCATTATTCATTCACCAACTACTTATTGAGACTTGCTATATGCAGAATACCTGTTATAAAATACTAGGCATGTTTTATGTGTAAGTGCTACATTTTTAACAGCCACATTTAAAACAATCACTTTAAGGCTTCAATTTCACTTAAAATTTTTACCTTCCTTACTAACTAACTTGCCACCTTTATGACTTTAATATTAAACTACTTTAACTTATTTCTCTCTTTTCTTTAATTTTTAGTTACTGAATTTGGGAGCTCTTTCCAAATTCTGATTCCTCTGTTTACGTATGTACATATAAATACATACATACATATATATATACATACACACACATATGCACATTATTATAATTTTATAATATAGTATTTACATATAATTTCATATTGATTTTTATTTGATTATATATTTTTGTTTTCTTTTATGAATCTAGACTTTTTAAATGACTAAACTTACAGAAATATTATCTCCTTGACTGTATTTACTTCAATTAGAAATGTTCCCCAGACTTCTATATTAGAAGACTTTTTAGGGACAGCAGTATGATTCGAAATGGTGTTGAAGGGAACTTGTCTTGGATTTGACTTAGCATAGCAGGCACATTATTATTATTATTATTATTATTATTATTATTTAGTTGGGGTCTCACTCTGTTGCCCAGGCCGGAGTGCAGTGGCACACTCATGACTACTCCAGCATCGACCTTCTGGGCTTTGGCGATCCTTCTGCCTCAGCCTTCCAAGTAGCCGGAACTACAGGTGCACACTACCACACTCTGCTAATTTTTTACTTATTGTAGAGACGAGGTCTCACCAAATTGCCCAGACTGGTCTCGAAACCCCAGGCTCAGGTGATCCTCTCACTCCGGCCTCCCAAAGTGCTGGGATTACAGGCTGAGCCACCGTGCTCGACCCAGCCAGCCTTTTTAAAGAACCTTCAACTCAGCTACTGCTCTTGACTTTGTATAATCATCCCTCCTCTATTTTACACCTAGAGAATTACAATACACATATAATAGTTACATAATTAGATATGGTTTGTTATAAACATCTGGAAGTTAGAGACAAGATATTTTTCCTTCTTTTCAGTATGTCCTATAGTATATAGAGAGTATTATGTGTTATTTTGGTTTATACAAGGGGGACCCTAAAAAAGGAACTTATTTATTAAAAGTATGTATTTATTCTTACATGTCACCTTCAAAGTACTCTCCATTTGACACAACAGATGCACCTATGGAGATCCTCTTTGTACTGCTCAAAATAGTTTTTGAACGTGTCAATTTTGATGCCTTTCAGCACTTCTGCTGGTTTTTTTGTTTGTTTGTTTCACTTCTTCCATATTAGAAAAATGTTTCCCTTCAAGGACTTTTTTCATCCATGGAAATAAATGAACAAAAAAGTCACTTTGGATGAATAGGGAGGGTGGGGCATGGAGGTCATACTGTTTATGGTCAAAAATTGCTGAACACTCAGCATGGTATGGACAGGTGCATTGTCATGGTGGAAGAACCAGTCACCTGTTTGCCAAAACTCAGGATATTTCTTCCACAAATTGTGATGCAACCTTCTCAAAACTTCCAGATAAAAACTTTGGTTGAACAATTGATCTGGAGAAACAAATTCTGAATGAACTACAAGGACCCTGCCTTCCAAAAGATAATTCCAGATTTTTGGGATTCCCCCTTGTGTATAGTAAATACTGTTTTGTATTTTTTTTTTCTCTCTTTCTTTGGAAATTAGAATGGCATATTTAAAGCGACTCAAAAATTGGATGGTTTGAAATGTCAAATGAACTGGGACCAGCAAGCATTGGAGGCCTGGTTGGAGGAATCAGCTCGTAAAGATAGTGATGCCCTTACTCTTCAGAAGTATGCACAAAAAGATGATAACAAAATTAGGGTGAGAAATTATAAATTGTAATGGTTAGGTGTTCTCTGAATCTGTAATATGTCAACCTATTTACCCAAAATTGTATTTATTATTTTCAAAGTAGCAATTCTTAAACTCTTTTTGAGTCAGGGACTTCTTTGAGAAAGTAATAAAGCCAAATATCCTCTCTGAAGAAAAATGACTATACTCAAATACCCGTAAAATTTTACTGACTGATTACAAATCTTCTGAAGCCTTTTGATCATTTAGGGATCTATGAGGTTAAAAATATCCCGATTTATAAAGATTCTCAAAAGCATTTTCAGAGAACATTTTGTACTAGAGTTATTTATATGTATTTTAGCTATTTCTAAAATATAGTTTGAATATTACATATAGTTTTTACTGATTTGAGACAATAGTGCTATTTTTTTTCCAAGTCGAGGTCTTACTCTGTAGCTCAGGCTGGAGTACAGTGGCACAGTCACAGCTCTTCGCAACTTAGACCTTCTGGGCTCAGGCAATCCTCCCGTCTCAGCCTCCCAAGTAGCTGGGACTACAGGCATGCACCACCTCACTCAACTAATTTTTTTATTTTTCATAGAGACGAGGTATCTCTATGTTGTTTAGACTGGTCTTGTACTCTCACCTTAGCCTCTCAAAGTGCCTGGCTGACAATAGTGCTGTTGAATGATATGTTATCATAACGGTCATTTACAGTCCTCTTATAATTACATCTGGTGATTTTAACAAACTGAGTATTATTGAGCATGTTGTTTTCTAGTAGAGTTAATACCAAATGCATTTTTAAAATAATTTCAAGTGGCAAATTATAATTTGAGCTTTTTCAAATTTACTTTAAAACTATTAAAAGTCATTTTAGAAGTAGTTGAGTTTTCATGCAGTTATATGCAAACACATTAGATTAGCTTTCTGGGATCTAAAGATAAGGAAAGTATACATTATTTTATTGTTATTTTAGGTATAAATAATTGTGTGTATATAATGTAATAATATTTAGTGTTAGATGCATTAACAGCTTTTAAATTAATAAATGATAATTGTTAATAATTTTGCATGTAACTACCTGATAGGCATTGACCCTGCAACTGGAAAGACTAACTTTGGAATATAATCAGAGAAGAAAGGTACTTGATAACGAATTTACCGAGACTCTAAGTGCACAGGTGAGTTTAATGAAAATTTTGATTTCTTTATTTTCAAGATGATGTTTGCAAAAGCACTTAAACTCACTGAAATGTTGTTTGCTCTCTATTTGACAGTTAGAGTTGGATAAAGCAGCCCAAGATTTTCGTAAGATCCATAACGAAAGACAAGAACTCATTCAACAGTGGGAGAACACAATAGAACAGATGCAGAAGAGGGATCGAGACATAGACAACTGTGCTTTGGTAAAGTCATTGTTTGGTCCTTGGAAGGTTCAGCTGTATTGTTCTCTTTTCTATTTAACTCATATTGTTTCAAATGTACATCACATTGTTATTTGAAAGTCACTTTTGTAGCAGCATTCGATAGTTTTGGTAAATGTTTTTGAAAGTTGACGCTAAGCTGGGCACGGTGGCTCAAGCCAGTAATTCCAGCACTTTGGGAGGCTGAGGCGAGTGGATTGCCAGAGTCCAGGGGTTCACAAACAGCCTGGGTGACTTGGTGAGACCTCATCTCTACAATAAAATAAAAAAATTAGCCAGGCGTGGTGCTCATCTGTAGTTCTGGCTACTTGGAAGGCTGAGGTGGAAGGATCGCCTAAGCCCAGCAGGTTGAGGCTGCAGTGACCAAGAGCATGCCACTGCATTTCAACCTGTTCACCAGAGAGATTCCAACTCAAAAAACTAAAAATAAAAAGGAAAGTTGACTCTATTTAGAAATGTGATTTTATGAAGATTATTTGCTTCTAGTGTTAAACTCTCCAAAGACTGGATCCTGCCCTCTCTGAATTACGGTGCAAGAGAAAGTCAAATAGATAATGTTACTGCAGTAAAACCGATGCTCTGACTTACACATGTTTGAAGTTACCATGTATACTATTTGGCAGTAAGTTATGGTAGGGACGTGAACCCCCATGGATAACCAAGAAACAAGGAGAGAGAGTCAGAAAAGAAACCTAGATCACAATAAAGTTTTACTTTTGAAGCTGGACACCACTAACGTAGAAACTTGCAAGGGGGGAATGGTGCACTGGTAACCCAGACTTAGGGTTATCTCTTGCTACTTTCAGAGGTAATTTAGGAGAATGTTTTTGGAAAATCACTAAGGTAGGAAATAATAGGGAGTAAAAGTGGGAGGAAGAGAGGAAGAACTGGGGAGAAGGAACTGAGAGGAAAGGAGGCAGATGAGAAGATGTGTTAATTCCATTCTGAATCTACTCCATGGAAAGGCCTTTGGTAAGCAACTGAGGCCATTGGGAGTTTGGAATTGTGATATCTGGATGTGGTTAACTTCTGGCTGTTGTATTTTAAATTTTTGTAAGTAATTAACATTTTATCAACAAAATGATTATGCCTCCCTGGAAGGGGTAAGGAAGAAGCAATCTTAGTATGACGTCCTCTTAATTCTTAATGCTGGTGTTAATACATATTTCTTAATCTTTTTTTTCTCTTTCTTTTGCGTTAATCTTAACTTCTTGCTTTCAAACATCAAGTTGTTCACCTGAAAGGAAGAAATGGAGGCAAAATTAATACAAGCCGAGAGTTTGTTTGGGAAAGTTTGAGGATTGCAACGTGGGAACATAAATTCAAGTTGCTCTGAATATACACTCTTATTAGCAGCAGTTACAAGTGGATTTTTTTTTTTTGAGCCAAGGTCTCTCTCTGTTGCCCAGGCTGGAGGGCAGTGGCACCATCACAGATCATCACAGCCTCGACCTCAGGCCATCTTTCCACCTCAGCCTCCCGAGTAGATGAAACTATAGTTGCACACAACCATGCCTGGCTAATTTTTTTATTTCTTATAGAGACAAGTTCTTGTTATGTTGTGTAGGCTGTTCTCCAACTCTTGGACTCAAGCACTCCAACTTCGGCCTCTCGAAATGCTAGGAATATAGGTGTGAGTCACCACGTCTGACCAAACAAGTGGATTTTTAAAGGGAAAGATGTGGCAATTTTCAAGTTGTTTACCAAAAATTAACATTAAAAAGGCATAAGATATTGGTTATTAAGCTATAGAGTGTGGGTTATAGTGTCCACTGTGGCATTATTAGGTTAATGTATAGTCACTTGTGGCAATAGCAAGCAGCGCCAAGAAATGAGTACACAGCTTAATGGGGGGGGGGAGTGAGATGTAATTTCTGTCTTACTTTAGTGCCTCCCTGGACTTGATAATTTAAAAGGACTCGTATTCTTCAGATACAAGTTCTTTTCTTTCTCAAAGTCATGACTGCTTCCTCTATGTAGGTCACATGTGCCGGATCTAAGATTGCAGATCCACAGTCACTGCTCTCGTACAACTCCCTGGCTAAATTGACTCAGTCTGCTGATTAGGCAGAAGAGAAACTAGTAGCTCCGTGGTCACAGTCCCAGTTGTTGCTTGTTACAGACTGGCATCTCTTCACTGTGCTGTCACAGACTAGTGAGGGAGCTAAGGTGGTTCCACAAGGCAGTGGGATGCTTCTACGTGTTGAACAGCTGCTCTCAAAATAAAACAAAACCCTGGGATGTATAGCATTTTGAACGTCATGGTGTATCTACTTTAATACCAACATGATTCAACCGAACACAGAGTTGAAAAGAGATGTGTAAATTGGTTACTGTGAGTCAGTGAAACTGGTTCACACCATAGAGCACTTAGACTGTGTAAGGAAGGTGAACTGTTTTTTCACCCTCTTAGGGTTTCTGGCTTGAACTGACAAAAGACAAATCAACAGGAAAAAGCAAACACATTTTATTTACATATATATGGGAGCCTTCACAAGAAAAATGAAGACTCAAAAAAATGAATGGGCTTAAGTGCTTATATATGAGGTTGAAAGAAGAGTGTTAGTTGTGGAAAAGTAACTAGAAAGATAGAGATTGGTTTAACAAGGTTTATTTGTATACATTCTTCTTGGTCTTGACTGCCTCTCTCTGGTGATGAGAATGCCTTTCTTCCTCCTGGCACAGAAGGGTATCTTTCACATAGTAGTCTTTTATCTCCTCCTTTCAGGAAAAAAAAAAAAAAAAAAGGAAGGTCAGAGTGTCCTTCTTGCATCTGCTATTTTTCAGATGTCTTTAACTCAAAATGCTCAATATACTAAAGTAGCTTATCTTGGGGTGGCATATTTTAATCCCCTACAACTGATACTGGACTCTTTTGTTCCTCTTCCTTCAAAACAATTTCTGTCTTTGCAGTGCCTTCTTGGCAGGAGTCTTGGCCATAAAATCCTGAAATTGTCTTCTTAAAAGAAACAATATTTAGAAAAGGAAAAATATCTTTTCATTTATTCAAGTGTAGAAAATTTGGAATATTACCTATAAGCATCACCTACATGAACGCTGACTTATGAATAGCACTGTTGAAGTAGGAATTAAATAATCTAAGTGGTAGAAAAACCAGTATAAGACAAGAAAATCTAGAATGATGATTTAAAATACTGAAACTTAGGATGTTTTGATATATCTGTTGAGTGAATGAAGACAATAAATATATAGAATGCTGCAATTATAGAAGTTAATTGTTGTTGTAGAGCACATATGGGAATACAGGATTAAACGAACTTAAAATTTCTTTATTTATTTATGTATTTTCTGAGTTAGGGTCTCACTCTGTCACCCAGGCTGGAGTGCAGTGGCATGATCATGGCTCACCACAGACTCGTCCTCCTGGACTCAAACAATCCTTCTACCTCAGCCTCCCAAGTAGCTGGGACAACAGGCACACCACCACTCCTGGCTACTTTTTAAAAAATTTGTTTTGTAGAGATGAGGTCTTGCTATGTTGCCCAGGCTAGTCTCGAACTCCTGGGCTCAAGCAATCCTCCTACCCCAGCCTCTCAAAGTACTGGGATTACAGGTGTGAGCCACTGCACCTGGCTAAAATTTCTTTTTAAAAATACGTTATATCTCAGATGTATATCTATTTAACCTGCTAATATGTATAATATTACTTGCAGCATTTCTAAAACATACTGATTTCAGAACACATAACCCCCTCCCTCAATATTCTGTGACTAGTTGTGTGGTGGACTCTGTCTTGGAATACTTGAAAGTAATATGTGTTAGGGCAATTTTGTTTTGAATTTCATCTAACCTATTGCCATCTAAATCACTTGTAAAGAACACATCTGATATTTTTATTCTCTGACTTTAAAATACTCTTTTTGTATACATATTGCTTAAAAAGTTGACCCCTTTGACAGGGCATTTGAATTTTTTTGCTGTTTAGCCCTAAACTCTGCCTTTCCAGCCTCATCCCTTTCAGCTGAACCTCCCCTTCTTAATATATTTACTCTCCATCCCTCCCTTCCCATCCTACAATTGAACTACATTAGAGTATTTCTGTATCCCCATTCATGTTTGTAAACCTGCTCAAATGACACCTCCTGGGTGTTGTCCTCTTATTCTTTTATTCGCCTATCCTGGGAAACCAGGAAAGGGTAATGTCTTCTAATGACTCTGCCATCCCTTTGTTTCCACAGTACTTTGTTTACTTTTCAGTTTAGGTACTTTGTGTATTCTATTGATCATTGTTTCTCTAAGATCAGTAAAAGGCCTGAGTGAAGACAGGTCTATTGAAATTAAGAACATTTTCTTAAAGATAAAAAAAAGGGCTATAAAATAGTTGGAAAATTTTATTGAAACTCAAGTGGAAAAATATTCAACAGTATTACATTTTGTGGATGTTACCCTTTATGTATAAAAGCTTTATTTTTCTCTTCTCTTCCGCAGAGTTCAAGATAGATGAAATAAAACATAGACACCTTTAACAATATGCGTTTTTAAATATTGATGTGTAGCATATTAATATTTTAGTTTTAGTAGTATGAAAGTCTCTCTTTTAAAATGTTCTCTTAAGAAGTTTTGATAAAAATAAATACTGAATAGAAAAATAGAAAAATAAAAGCTAAATTCTTTTTTATTTATGTCATATTACACACAAATTTAAGTAAACACATTTGTTTTAATCCTAGGAACTAGCAAGGGTAAAGCAGGAGACAAGAGAAAAAGAAAATTTGGTGAAGGAAAAGATCACTTTTTTGGAAAATGAGATTGGGAATAACACAGAGTATGAGAAAAGAATTTCTGCTGCTGATCGTAAACTTTTAAAATGTAGAACGGAATATCAGTACCATGAAACCAGCAGAAGTCAGCTGAAGGATGAGGTATGTCAGCTAAGACTGGTTTGTGTGAACATGACCAGTTACTATAAAAATAAGTATAACATCTTCCCATTGATTGAGGAACTTTCCTTTTAGTTCTTTTTATTACGTGTTTTTGTTTCATAAAAATTGTAAGATACTCTGATTGAACCCTTCAATAGTGAGGTACCAGCATTGGCACTCACATGACAGGTGGTATGAAGGACTCTCCTGAAGTGGTGCAGTGCCCAGCCTGCCCAGCATGATATTCTGTAAGGGACCTGAGATCAAATGCTGTCCAACGATCTAGGTGGGAGATTATCGACAAGGTAACAGGCCGGTGTTATTGGCACAGTGTGTTGTAATAGGCAGTTGGATATTGGCACAGTATTATAGTGAGTGATAGAAGTGCCTTCCCTAGCCAGGCTCGGTGGCTTAGCCTGTAATTCCCCGCCTTTGGGAGGCTGAGGTGAGTGGATTGCCTGAGCCTGCGGGTTCGAGACCCGCCTGGGCAACTTGGCGAGACCTCATCTCTACAATAAATAAAAAATTAGCTGGGTGTGTTAGTGCGCACCTGTAGTTCCGCTACTTGGAAGGCTGAGGTGGAAGGATTGCCGGAGCCCAGCAGGTTGAGGCTGCGGTGGCCGGGAGCGGCCACTGCATTCCAGTTTGGGTGACAGAGTGAGACTCCAACTCAAAAAAAAAAAGAAGTGCCTTCCCCTGTACGGCATGGGTATGTGTGGTTGTAACTCTCACATTCTAGGTGGATATACTTGCTTAAGTTTGGTTTCTCGCTTTGCTAAGGGATAATATTTCAGCCTGGAAGCAGGATAATATGTTGATAAAATATCTTGAAACAGATAAGAGAGAACAAAATTTCTCCTGCTTTGTTCTTTTCTTCTTTCCTTCCTTTTACAGGCATACATGCCCACCACTCTATTCTATAGGGAGAGTAAGTGATCTCCTTAGTTAGCAATTAAGGGATCTTTATAAAATTTCTGCTTTGATACCATAGTATCTGAAGTGACTATGTTTAGGTGGAAAGTTAGAATATTATTATATATCATATGTTGTGATATTATATGTTATAAAATTTAGAATATATTATTAGAAAACTATTACTAATATAGAGAATGTAATGTTAGAATGTAATACATTAAAAATTAAAATATTATTAATACATTAAAAAATAACACCTTATAGAATAAAATGCTCTTATTCCACAAGGTTTTACACTTTTCAGTCTCAGAGAAGGATTCCTTTTTCGTCCAAAGAAAATAATACACAAAATTCTAAAAAAAAAAAAAAAAAAACAAGAGAATTTCTTGTCTACAATACTTGTCGCTGCTGGTAGCTCTTTCTTAAAATTTTCAAAGTTTAAGCCAATTGCAGAAAAGGATGAAAGGACTGGTTGATTGATTCCTGCATTCATTTATAATTTATTTATTGAGACATCATTCTTCTATCATAATTCACTCTTTTAAAGTGTGCAGACAAGTGGTTTTTAGCATAGTTAGAGTTGGGCAGCTATCACCACTAATTTTAGAATGTTTTTGTCACCCAGAAAAGAAGCCCCATTTCCATTTGTAGGCACTCTCCATCCCTCCTTCTCCTACCCCTGATGACTACTATCTACTTTCTGTCTCGATGGGTTTTCTGAATCTGGACATTTGATACAAATGAAGTCATCTTATATGTAACTCTTTGTGTTTGGCTTCTTTAGCATGATGTTTTCAAGGTTCGTGCATGTTATAGAATGTATCAGTACTTTATTCCTTTTTATGTAGAATAATACTCCATTGTGTGGATATACCACATTGTTTATCCATTTCTCAACTGATGGACATTTGGGTTGTTTTTACTTTCTTGTACTCTGTTGATTAATATTGCCATGAACACTCATTTACAAGTTTTTGTGTGGAAGGGAATTATTAATTTTTTTTTTCTGAGTCGGAGTCTCACTCCGTCACCCAGGTTGGAGGGCAGTGGCATGCTCATGACCACCGCAATCTCGACCTGCTGGGCTCTGGAGATCCTTCTGTCTCCGCCTTCCAAATAGCTGTAACTACAGGCACATGCTACCATGCCCGGCTAATTTTTAAATTTATTGTAGAGATGAGATCACACCATGCTGCCCAGGCTGGTCTCGAACCTGTGGGCTCAGCAGTCCTCTTGCCTTGGCCTCCCAAAATTCTGACTTTATAGACTTGAACCACCATGCCAGTTAAGGAATTATTAATTTTCTAAATACTTTTGTACAGTAAATATTAGAGCATCAGTCTTATATTTCAATAGTTACCCTACTTCTCTTTAATAATTTGCGAAGGTTATTTTTTAAAAAATATGTGTTTCATTTTTCTAACTTTATTGAAGTATGAATGATAGATAAAAACTGTATATATTTAAAGTGTAAAACGTGATGTTTATACATATATGTATGTGTGTGTTTATGTAATACACACATATATAACATTTTCTTTATCCATTAATCTTTTGACAGACACTTAGATTGTTTCCCTATTTTGGCTATTATCAATAATGCTGCAATCTTGTCATCTTTTGAATTTTATAATAGCCATCTGGTCAAGTGTGAGGTGAAATCTCATTGAGTTTTTTTTTTTTGAGTTGGAGTCTCACTCTGTCGCCCAGACTGGAGTGCAGTGGCCGCTCCCGGCCACCGCAGCCTCGACCTGCTGGGCTCCGGCGATCCTTCCACCTCAGCCTTCCAGGGAGCTGGAACTACAGGCGCGTGCTACCACGCCCGACTGATTTTTTGATTTATTGTAGAGATGAGGTCTCACTGCCCAGGCGGGTCTCGAAGCCGTGGGCTCAGGCAATCTACTCACCTCAGCCTCCCAAAGGCGCGGGATTACAGGCTGAGCCACTGAGCCCGAGTTTTGATTTGTATTTCTGTAATGATTAATGATTTTAAACATCTTTTTATATATTTGTTGGCCATTTGTGTGTGCTCTTTGGAATAACGTCTATTCAGGTTCTTTGCCCATTTTTAAACTGGGTTATGTTATTGAGTTGTGTAAGTTTCTTGTATAGTTTATCAATTAGCCCCTTATCAGATATATGGTTTGCAAATATTTCCTCCCATTCTGTAGGTTGCCTTTTCATTTTGTGGATTGTTCACTTTCTTACAGAAACTTTTTGGTTTGATAGTCCCACTTGTTTATTTTTGCTTTTGTGGCCTGCGGTTCTGGGGTCAAATTTTAAAAATCATTATAGAGACCATTGTCAAGGAGGTTTTTGCCTACAGTTTTTTTTTCTAGGAGTTTTACAGTGCCAAGACTCACATTTAAGTCTCACAGCCATTCTGAACTGGTTTTTGTGTATAGTGTAAAATAAAAGTCCAATTTTATTTTATTTCCTGCATGTGGCTATCCAGTTTTCCAAATGCTATATACTGAAGAGACTCTCCTTTCCCTGTTGTATATAGTTGGAGTCTTTGTTGAAATTAGTTGATCATATATGCATGGATTTAATTCTGAGATCTCTGTTCTATTCCAGTGGTCTTTTTGTTTTTTGTTTTTTATTTTGCCAGTACAGCTGGCCTTCGTTATCCATGGGTTCTGCATCTGTGGATTCAACCAACAGTGGATCAAAAATATTTGGGAAAAAAATTTTAAAAGGATAACACAATAAAAAAATACAAATTAAAAATACAATATAACAACTATTTATATAGCATTTACATTGTATTAAATATTATAAGTTATATAGAGATAATTAAAAGTATACAGGAGGATGTGCATAGGTTATATGAGGAACTTATGCATCTGTAGATTTTGGTGTCTGTGAGGGATCCTGGAATCAATCCTCTGTGGATACTGAGGGATGACTGTATTACATTGTTTTGATTACTATAGCTTTGAAATGTAGTTTTAAATCAGGAAATATGATGCTTCCAGTTTTATTCTTCTTGCTCGAAATTGCCTAGCTATCAGGGGTCTTTTATAGTTCCATATGAATTTTAGGATTATTTTTCTATTTCTGTGAAGAATGACATTAAAACTTTGATATAGATTATGTTGAATCTGTTGATTTAACTAACAAACAGAGAGAGGCTCTCTCCAAATATTGCATTTAGTCAGAAATGAGCAGGGATTTTGTAAATCTAGGCTATGCAGGCTATGACAGATCATAGGTATAGCCAGGGAGGTAACACATGGCAAGGGTTTTTAAAGCTAAACAAGGGTGATGTCAGTCCATGACTGATCAGGCAGTTGCCTGGCAGATGTTTTCATAAAAGTATTTTTTGTGCAAAGTTGCAATGGCCTACGTGCAAGGTCATGGCTCTGGCAGATTCTCTTGAAATAGTTCTTATTATCAAGCAAATATGTGTGAGATCCTTCATGGCCTTCCTTTCATGGCCTTCCCCAGCTCCATTTTGTCAGGGTTTGACACACATGATTGCTTTTTGAATTTGACAACTTTCACAAATGTGTAGATCACACTCAGTAGTATGAATATTTTAAGAGTGGTAATTCTTTCAATCCATGAACACAGGATATCTTCATTTATTTGTGTCCTCTATAGTTTCTTTCATGAAAGTTTTGTAGTTTTCACTGTATAGATCCTTTATTTCCTTTGTTAAACTTATTCTTAAGTATTTTATTATTTTTGATGCTATTGTAAGTGATATTGTTTTTTATTTATTTTACGGATAGTTGGATTTTAGTATATAGAAACATAACTGGTTTTGTATGTTGATGTTCTATCCAGAAACCTTACTGAATTCATGTATTAGTTCTGACAGTTTTTTGATGGAGACTTTAGAGTTTTTGCAAAGATTATTAATGAAAAAGAAAATTCATGTTTTGGATTTTCTGTTTTAACAACTTGAATTAACAGTAAAATGTATGTCATTAATTAAGAGATTGACCTATTAGATTTTCTTGAAATCTTAAAAATCCAGTAACATTTCTTATAATTCCGTGAGCACTTTATGCATATATATTATTTATCTTGAATATTGGAATGTGATCTTTCTGAGCTGGTCTAGTGGTATTGGACATTTCTGCATTTGCTTTTTACACATATATGCATGTCTCTATAATTTACCAGAATTATACAACAAAGCCATTAAAATTTGATCAGTATGAAAATCTTAATATATATTAATTATATAAAAATTGCTTTGGTAAGAACAAAAAGGGAGTGATGTAGCTTAGAACTTAAAGTGGGGAGAATAAAACATCTCAGAAATGAAATTAATTTATAAACTGTAGAGTAAATACATAATTTCTGTCTGTTAACTAATAAATAGCTGGATTCGTTAAAAGCCACTGTGAATAGAACTTCCAGTGATTTAGAAGCTATAAGGAAAAATATTTCCAAAATAAAGAAGGACATTCATGACGAAACAACAAGGTAAGAAAAAAGCTATTTAAATATTTTATTTATCGTTATTGTTACATCTAGAAAATTATTAAATACTTAAGACCATTTTTTTGTTAGATAACTGCAAAATGGCAGCTACTACATTATTGAACTTTTAAAAATGCTGGTTTTTGATCACAAAAGCTTATTGGAGCTATATATTTATGGTCGATTGAATATAGTAATGATAAGATTTACGGGAAAAGAAATCTTCAAGTTGTACAAAGAAATCTTAGGATAAACTATTCTTTGTTTGCATTAAATACTTCTTAGGCATGTTTTCTATCTTTTCTTCATAAACCCTCTTTAGGTTACAGAAAATTAAAAATAATAATCAGATCATAAATAAGAAATTAAAGCAGATAACCGAGAAAACTATGACTGTGGAGGAGAAAGCTACCAACTTGGAAGATATGCTAAAGGAGGAAGAAAAAGGTGTAAAGGTGAAGTTTAATTTTAATTTTTAAAAAATCACAGAAAATGTAACAACAGTGAATTCATTAGACTCCAGGGTCGCAGGACAGTAGATCTTGTAAGGAATTCCATCCCTTCCCAATGCCTGCTGTGTCCATGTCTGGGCCGTTTATAATATCTGTTGGTATATTGCATCCAAATCCTGAAAATTGCCTTTGTTTTACAACTGGTTTCCACCTGATTATCATTTTATTTTGTTTGTTTGTAATCTAATTCCCCTGATTGTCTACATTCATTATCTGTATTTCTTCATCATCTACTATCTCTTCAACCCCTTACAATCTAGCAATATTTTCTGGTAAGTGGTCTTTGAAATTCTATTACTTTACTAACTCTGCTGGCATTCCCTTTCACTTCAGTCTCTTTGGCATATGGGTGGCATGAAAGCCTAAAACTTCAAAGTCACCTGCAAGTATGACCTGACACTGTAGGCTTTGCTTACTTGTACTCTGTTTTGAAGGGGGAGAAAGTGGTAGTAGCTGAAGATGGTAACAGAATCCCCCAACATTTTATAAGGTTTGTATCAAATATGGTTCCACTAATATTTGGATGGGATCCAGCTTCCTCAGTATATGCTGTAAAATTTCCAAGTAATGAAGTCATACAGCAATTTTTTTTTTTTTTTTTTTTAGAAAGCAGGATTTATTGAGAGGAACAGAAAAGCAGGATTTATTGAGAGGAACAGGAAAGCTCCCACAGTGGGAGGGGACCCAAAAGGGTTGCCCCATGTAGCATTTTTAACTTGAGTGGTATTTGAGTTCAAATTGTACATTACTTTTTAAAAGTTTTTTTCCCCCTAAGAGCATGATTTTCTATATAGCACATTATTTAGGACAGTACTAGAACTTATCCAAAACCTTTAAAGACTGTGAAATTCATATGAAATAGACCTTTTAATCATATAAAGTTTAAAACTTAAGCCATTTTTGAAGAAATTTAGCTAACCTAGAAAAAAAATATTGGCAGCAGGAGTACTGATCATTTTCTAGCAGGGCTGTGTTCATAATCTTAGTTTTTTGTTGCTGTTGGGTTTTGTTTGTTTGAAAAAAAATCACAACCCTATCTTTTTGGAAATGTACAGTGTTATTTATCACCAAACACGGATGTTAAACTCTGCCAGGCAATCTTTGAGAATGTCTTAAACCTAATGAAAATTGCTTATTCTGTGAAAAATAATGCATTGACTATTAAGTTACATTTATTTGTAAAGATTTAAATGTGCCAATCACATTGGGATCAAAGGACTAGATTTGGTTTGTTATGTGTTGAGGTTCATTGATTGCCAAAGGGAAATATGCTTTATTTGGGTATGAGAACACAGAGAAAGATTATTTCAACATTTAAAAATGAGAACTTTCAACCGATCTTGGAATGGCGGACCTATGTGAAGCCTAGAATACATTGGTCTTGAAGCCTTGAAATCAAGACCGATTTGCCTTTTGAGAGAGGAGCAATAGGAATGGGAAACTTGTTTCTATTTACTAGAGGAATGCACATTGTGGAGAGACCCACTGGAGACAAGGTGTGTGATGGGTGGTGCCCACAGTGTGCTGGGACCAGCCCCCTCCAGCTCATAGGAACCAATAGTTAAATTTTCAGAAATTTGGTAAGTTGGCGGCTAAACACAGCTACTATTAAAAATCAAATTAAATAGACCTACCATTAAGTAAACTATATTTACAGCAAAAGTAATAAATACTTAACCCTTATCACTTCCAAATTGTTTTACTATTATCTATGCTCTTAAGGTTGCTTAAGATTACTTATGTCTGTTATATCCATATGTTAGAAATATTACATACCGTCTGCCTCTGTATATCTCTTCCAAACTCTGCCTTTAGTGAAATCATGTTGGCAGCTTCAAATTGGCCATCGTGGGAATATTTACACCATGGAAATCAGATTCTTCCCCTAACCTCTCATCCACGAGAGAGCTGGTGGTTCAACACTTACCTGCTCATCACAGGATGGTGCCCAAAAGAAGGTGGAAGATTGGGTGATGTGATTTCTTCCCTGTAGCACCCTCAAGACTTCAGTAAACTTTGTGAACTTATAAGCTGTGCATGTCTCCAGTGGATTTTATTTTCTGAGAAAATCAGGGGAATGGCCAAGTTCTGAGGCTAGAGAACGTAGATGACAGGTCAAGGTGTATGTATGACTCAGAATAGAAAACTACTAATCTATACAACAGACTCTAAGAAATGTTGCAGATTTGTTTTAAATTGTGGGAAGGGCTTTTTCTAAAGGGCTGAAATGGTGAAAGGTTCAAGGTTATTTACGAGCCCCGAAATTATAAGATTTATATAAATAAAACATTTCAAGATATTATAAAGTCATTGACCACTACAATTCTTATTATCAGGAAGTGGATGTTCAGTTGAACCTCGTAAAAGATGTGCTATTTAAGAAAGTTCAGGAGTTACAGAATGAGACAGTGAAAGAAAAAGCTATTGTATCAGAAATTGAAGGAACGCGTTCCTCTCTAAAGCATCTCAACCATCAGTTACATAGACTGGATTATGAAACCTTGAAGCAGCAAGGAATTATGTACAGTCAGGTAGACGTTGCTTTTGTAAATATCTTCCATATTGATCTGTTATAGTTGTGATAATTAACATACCCCAATGTCCTAAGAAAACAAAGATTTCTAAGCACTCTTTTGGAGGATAGACAGACTCTGAAGGTGAGATATCATGTTAGATCAGTGGTAGGGTGGGGAGCCTTAGAGCCTATTTTTTCCCCCCTCAATCTGAAATAAACAGGCCAGAAGAGACAAAAATTTAGTAAAGGAGTCCACATAGGTTTTAAAGGAAACTGGGACAATTGAACCCAGAGTAAAACAAAAGAAGCCATGAGGTATCTGAAGCCTAGAAAAACTGTACGTTGATCCTTGTATAAAATAGGCAACCCCCACTGGCACTCCCAGGCCAATAAAGTACTTTTTTCAGTTTTTCCTTATTTTGTTATATTTATATATTCATGTTAATTTTTTCATGTTCTCGGTGCATCTTTTTTTCTTCTTTTTTTTTTGGCAAGGACGTGGGTGGGGACAGAGGGGACAGGAGAGGAAGAGGAGGGGAAAGAAACAGAAAAGTGAGGATCAGAGAGTGGGGAACTCTTCTATACATCTTAATGTTCACAGCTAATATATTCTTAGTTATTCAAATTAAAGATGCTAAAATCTTATATTGAGAACAGTCCAATAGAAGTTCATCTTTGAACCTCTCATGGCTAATAATTTGTGACTACTTTTTTGTATCCCTTAGAAAATGTACCTTAAAAACTCATGTCCACATAAATCCACTGGATTTACAAAGGTTCCATCGTGGTTGTATAAACATCCTCTGACTTTGTTATATTTTCAGAAGATTATTTCTGTGTCTATTATGCAACTTATTTGTTAAAGACTAGCTTGTCTTTGCTCCCCTTAGAGTAAGAGCATTTTATCCTGAATTACTTACTGAAGCACTAAAGTGAGTTTGCTAAATGAAGGTGCCCAGTGCAAACTAATATGGATGTGCTTATTTTTACATTTCAATAAATGCTTTTAATTGTTTGTTTCTTCTCATTAACTTCTTTTTTAAAACTGTAACAGGATTTTTACATTCAGCAAACAGAACGGAGAATGTCACGGTTAAGGGGAGAAATTAATTCAGAAGAAAAACAAGCCCTTGAAGCAAAAGCCCTCGAACTTAAGAAGTCTCTGGAAGAGAAAAAGTCTACAGTTGGTCTTTTGGAAACACAGATCAAGAAACTTCATGTAACTTAACTAAAAATTACATTTTGTGTTTCAGATATCCTAGTGGTTAGTCGTTCTGTTTTAAGTCAACATATTTCTGAGACTACTTTGGTTAGAGCAGCTGCTGATCTACCCATATATACAACACATGTATGAACTTTAAATGTGCATATTTCTATCCTACAAAATATCACATTACCATTGACTAAGCATTACCATTGATTAGTATATGCTAAGCATTGTATTACATGCCTCTAGTATTTTACTTCATTTAATTCGTATAAATATCTTGTAAGGAAGATTTTATACACTGCTTTACAGATTAAGTAACTTGTCCAATGTTACTTGGCTAGTACATGGTAAGCTGGCATTTGATTCCTGTTTATTATTATTATTATTATTATTGGCTTCAGACTACTCTTAAAGAGAGTACACTGTTTAGAACGTTGATCAGTTCCAGTTTTATGTTATGTGTCTTCCATAATAAATAACTTGATTGCCCTTATCTTCGACATGCCATCTAAAAGAAGCTGCTTTTTTATGGGTCAGCAATTGTTGCTCAAATATTTACTTAGTTACAATATTTGAAATGAATCGATTCTGTTAACAGGGTTCTTCATCTTTAGGAATTTTATGATGTTTACTGTAATATAAAACCTATGTTAAAATTTGGAGTTAAAATGAGGCCTGAATGGGCTGAGAACTTGGCTGGGTTTAAATGCTGCTGTTTACCACTGGAAAGACTAGTGATGGGTGTCCTCTAGTGGTTATAAGAAGAATTGCTCCGAATTCCTTCGGGCCTGGATTTTAAGATGACACAAATTTTGATTTGGAGTAGTTTGTAGTCTAACGAAATATATATATATATATATATATATATATATAGCCATTACCCTTGTTTATTGGAAAAGAACACTTGCTTTGGCATCAGATAGAACTAGTTTTGAATTTCAAATTTATACCACCACCACTATTCTAACTTTTCCGAACCTTAGTTTTCTGGTCTGTTAAATGGGGGGAGGGAATTTAATGTTATTTTAGGGAATTTAGGAGAACTAGGGGCAATGTATATCTCAGAACAATGCCTTTAGTGTCTGCCTTGCTATGTGGGCATGGTTATTTTCTTCCTCTTTCAACTACCCTGACTGCCCTCTCCATCATACAAAGGTTTAGCGCTTATGCCTATTCCAACTCTGGTTTATTATTATTATTATTATTATTTTATTTTTATTTGAGTTGGAGTCTCACTCTGTCGCCCAGACTGGAGTGCAGTGGCCGCTCCCGGCCACCACAGCCTCCACCTGCCGGGCTCAGGCGATCCTTCCGCCTCAGCCTTCCCAGTAGCTGGAACTACAGGTGCGTGCTACCACGCCCGGCTAATTTTTTTTTTATTTATTTAGAGATGAGGTCTCCCTAAGTTGTTTTTGTTTTTTGAGTCAGAGTCTCACCCCGTGCAGTGGCACACTTACTGGCTAGAGTGCAGGGGCATGCCTTCAGCCACCCAGCGTCGACCTGCTGGGCTCGGGCCATCCTTCCGCCTTAACCTTCCAAGGGACCAGAACTACAGGCGTGCGCTACCACGCCTGATTATTATTATTATTATTATTATTATTATTATTATTTTGATTTCTTGTAGAGACACGGTCTTGCCAAGTTGCCCGGGCTGGTCCCAAACCCTTGGGCTCAGGCAGTCCACTACTCTCAGCCTCCCAAAGTGCTGGGATGACAGGCCAAGCCACCAAGCCCTGCCCCGACTCTGGTTTTAACAGAGAGAAGTAAGTTAATAGAAAGGCAACCGAATTTGTAAAATATATTAAAGCTACTTTAACTCAGTGCAAGGCTGCTCTTCTCAACAGTTGTAAAGTCATTCTGTATGTTCTCTCCACGCCACTCCATCTCTTGTTTTATATAATAGAAACTAATTTCTTCAGGTTGACTATCACATTAAATTTTAACTGTCATTCTAAACTTAGTTTTTTGAAAGCACTTCTTTGTGCGCAAAATTCCTCTTCTTACAGTCTTGTGGCAGTCTTAGGTCCTTATACTTTAGAGAAATGCAGCAATGAGAAAGAGAAGGACGGAAGGAGGGAGAGAGAGAGAGATCTTGGAACTGGAGAGTTTCAGTTTGGAAAACAAGAAGGGACTAAGAGCACAAACCTTATTTGGGTACTGGGTGGGAGGAGGGATACAAACTGGTGTAAAACTAGAAAACTGTTATTTGGTATCTATCTATGACCTGTTTATGCATCTGATAGAAATAGATTTTTAAAAATATTTTAAAATAATTTTATTTATTATAACATATGTACAATTCATATCTTATTTGAAAGATGTTGTTCTTAATATTTTAGTGAAAACAATGTGATTGAATATGCCTGGTTAATTTTGAAATCATAGTTTAACATTTTGGAATGCTGAATTCGGTTAAACTGACACTTGGCTTGAATGGATGTTATAGATAAAAAACATAACCTGATCAAGATTCACAGATATAAATGGACACAGTACAACATTGGCAGTGCCCAGTAAATCATACTACTAACTTTTCTTTTCTTTTTTTTTTTTTTTTTGAGTCAAGGTCTCATTTTGTCACACAGGCTGGAGCAGGCAGTGGCACGATCAGGGCTACCTGCAGTCTCTACCTCCTGGTCTCAGACGATCCTTCAATTTCAGCCTCCCAAGGACTGCTGTAACTGGGCTACAGTCATGTGCCACCACGCCCACCTAATTTTTTTTTTTTATAGAAATAGATCTTATCAAATATTTTTTCTCTATAGAAATCTGTGGTTATTTATGTAATAATAATAGCTAACATTTACATGAGACTTCTATATGTCAAGCATTATTGCACATAACTCTTTGACAGCAATAGCTTTAATGCTCACAACCCAAGAAGGTAGGGGTTATCCTCATCTCTGTTTTAGAGATGAGGAAATGGAGGAAGAGTATATCACACCGGAGTCAGATGCTAATATGTAATTAAGGCCATCTGATCCCAGAGCTGGTACTCTTAACCAGAACCCTATGCTTTCTCAGGCTATATCTGATGTTTTTACCACTGGGGACTTGAGTAGAATCAAACAATGAACTCGAGAGTAAGAGTGGGGAACCACACAATGAACCAGAGTATATGCTCCCATATCCTCATAAGTGGCCATCTCCTAACACCAGTTGGCCCTCCACAGCCACAAGTTGGCATCCATGGATTCAAACTGCAAATTGAAAATATTCAGGAAAAAAAATGGGTGGTTGCTCTTGTACTGAACATGAACCGACTTTTTTCCTGGTCATTATTCCCTAAACAATACAGTATAACAAAACTATGTACATATAATTTACATTATATTAGGTATTATAAGTAATCTAAAGATGACTTAAAGTGTACAGGAGGGTATGCTTAGGTTATATGCAAATACCATGCCCATTTCTGGTGGTGGTGGTGGGGTTGTCCAGAATACTGACATTAGATTGAACTGGACCTGTATATAATATTTCCTAGAATTACTAAACTCATACCAACCCCAAAACATCAAGAGATGATAAAAATGAAAATGTTCCCATTTGGATATCCATGCATATTTTATTAGAGACACAACATGAAGAAAGATGAAAACATCTGATTATTACAAATGTTTGAGTATACAATTTAATGTAAGATATGTATAAAATAGTATGTATTTAATATAGTTGTTATTGAAAACATATATTTATATACTTTTTTCTTTTTACAGAATGATCTCTATTTTATCAAGAAGTCAAAAAGTAAAAATTGTGATGAAAAACAGTTCTTTATGACCAAAATAAATGAACTATCCCTTTTCATCGAAGGATCGGAGAAAGAACTTAAAAGGGCCAAAGCTTTTAAACAGGTGCAATAAAATATGCCTAAATACCATGAAAAACCATATGTTTTCATTTTAATTGTAGAAATTGTTTAAATATAGAAAATTATGAGACTAAAAGTCACTATACTCAAGAATTTTCTTCTAGTCTTTTAAAGAAAGTTGACTTTATGTGTTGTATTTAAAAAATTTTAAACATGTTTTCTAAAATATTAATTATTCTTTGAAAAAAAATTTTGAAAGCTTTCTACACGCCCATTGCATGAAATTGCCATAATGTATTTAATCGGTTTCTATTTTTTGGATATGTGTTCCTTTCCAACGTTAAAAATAGTTAAACAGTTAAAAATAGTGCTGTCATGTACGATGTATGTATATCATTGTACAGTTTTTCTTTTAGCTTCCTAGAATAAGTTCCTAGCTACATAATTATAGTTAAAAAAGAAATGAAATTTTTAGTGTCCAGTTTTTAAGCCCAGTTGACTTCTAGAGAGTTCTACTAATACCCCCAGCAGCAGTGTGTAAGCATTCTATTTTATTCACCTCCACTGAGGCTAATTTATAAAAGTGTTGCCAATTTGATAGACAAACATGGCATCTCGTTGCTTTAATCAGCATTTTTAAATTGGTGACATTTTGTTTAAAGATAGTTAAAATCTTTATGTTTAAATTAAGATATTTGAAACATTTTTTCCCTTTATGTCATAAGTATAATTTTTCTTTTTAGAACTCTGGTTTATATTCTTAGCCCATTTTTCCATTGGGAAGTTTATATTTTCAAAGTGCTTTGTAAAATACCTTCATATGGAAAAATATTATTTCTGTCACAAATATTGTCAATATTTTCCCCATTTTCTTTACACTTTTATTCAGCTTTTAAAAACATAAAACCTTTTCTTAAACATAAACTTTTTAGGTCTTTTTTCCTTTATAATTTTTATGCTTAGAAACTTCTTTGCCACACTTAAAATCAGACAAATGTTTACAATTTCCCATAGTTGCTTGAGTTCATCTCTTGTATTTTATTCATCTGAGATATATTTTTGGTATATGTGAGATGTAGGGCTCAAATCTTTTCTCCAAATAAAAAACTATGCTTATGAAATAATAAAATCTTTATAACCTGGAATATTTGTTTCTGGGCTTTCTATTCTGTAAATTGATCTATAAGTGTACTGTTATGTCAGTATTCTATTCATGACTGAATTGTTTTAAAATAAAAATTTTTATTTCCACATTATTTTGTGAGATTTAAAGTATAGAAATGCCATTCATAGAACTTTATGTGTTTTCTGGGTATCATAAGTTTAATTTCAGGAACAACTTCTTCCTTTTTTTCTTTTTAGTAAAACTTGAATTTAAAATTGAATTATAAAAAATGATTTGTAATAGCCATGAACCTTTTTCTTAAAAGAATAGAAAAACTAGAGTCATGACTAAGCAATTTAAGCTTAACTCTAGGTGATATCTTGGTCAATTGTTAAATTCGAAAAAGATATATTTTCAAGTTTGACTTTTATAGAAATAAAAATTTTTAGTATTAAAAAATTCCATCACTTGACAGTTTTGTTATGTTGATAGGATTTGATGATAGAGGACAATCTTTTAAAACTTGAAGTTAAACGTACTCGAGAAATGCTTCACAGTAAGGCAGAAGAGGTTCTTTCCCTTGAAAAAAGGAAACAGCAGTTGCACACAACTATGGACGAGCGAACTGAAGAAATTAAAGTTCACAGAGCAATGCTTGCATCACAAATAAGACATGTTGATCAAGAACGGCAAAACATAAGGTAATTATTAGAGTTTGAAAATACTGCTGAAGAATTTGAAAGAAAGGTAAGGGTAATTGTCAGAACTGGCTACTTCCATCATGATCTTGAAGGTCCATCTTTTTCTAACTCATTTCAAAAGGCTTTTAATATGAGATATAGGGCATATTATAGGCAAAGTCTGGGCTCTTTCCTCTTTTTCCTTTGGCTAATTCTTCATTCTTTAGATTCTTCCTTTTATGTTAAGATCATTAATCCACTTGGAATTGATTTTTATGTATGACTGTGGTTAAAGTCCAACCCCATGTTTTTTTTTCTTAAAGATATCCAATAGCCACATTTATTAAAGCAATGTTACCTTGCAGGTTTTACATACCTTTCATGAACTTACCTCTGGCTATATATTATTTTCATTTTACTGCCAATGTCATCTCTTTTTAAAACATTTTTTCATTTCTAGTTTGTTGCTGGTATATAGAAATACAGTTGATTTCTATATATTATATTCGGAAACTTTGCTTAAACTCATCATTCTAATAATTGATCTGTAGATTCTGATTTTCTAGATACTGTAGTTCATTCATATCATTTTCAAATAATAATAACTTATTTCTTGCTTTCCAATCTTTATGACTTTTCTTTGCTCCAGTTCAATGCTGAGTAGCAGTGGTGGTTACAGGTATCCTTGTCTTGTGCCTGACCTAAAAGGGAGAGCTTTTATTGTTTTATCCTTAAGTATAAGGTTTATTGTAGTTTCTTTTTAGATATGCTTTACCATATTATGTGAGCTCCCAACTAATTTAATTCTTTGTTAAGAAGTTGTTTTAATTTGTTTAATCAGGAATGGATGTTGACTTTTATTATATGCTTTTTCAGCATTCATTGACAGGATGTAGCTTCTTCAGTCTGTTAATGTAAATGAATTATATTGATCAAATTTTCAAAGTTATACCAACCTGGAATAAACTCAACATGTCTGTCACATCTTTTCTTTTGTATCTGTCTAATTTTTAGTACAACTTTTAGAACAATTTTTGCATCAGTGCTCATGTGTGCAAATGACCCACAGTTCTTCTTGCTCTGCTGTTTGTCAGGTTATCAGACTTTTAAGGTTATGTCTGCCTTCATCAAATTATTTCTATGTATTTCATATTTTTCTATAATCTGGATATGTTTCTAAAATAGTAGAATTCTCTCTCTCTCTCTCTCTTTCTCTCTCTCTCTTCTTTCCATTCCTCCTCTTTCTTTCTTTCTTTCTTTCTCTCTCTCTCTCTCTCTCTCTTTCCTTTCTTTCTCCCTACCTCCTTTTCTTCCTTTCTTTCCTTTTTGTCTCACTCTGTTGCCCAGGCTGGAGTGCAGTGGCAGAATCACAACTCAGTGCAGTCTTGACTTTCCAGGTGCAGACAATTCTTCCATTTCAGCCTCCGGAGTTGTTAGAACTACAGACAAGCCACCATGCCTGGCTAATTTTTTGATTTTGTGTAGACACGAGGTCTCTCTATGTTGCCTAGACTGGTCTCAAACTGCTGGACTCGAGCAGTCCTCTCACCTTGGCCTCCCTAAGTGCTGGGATTACAGATGTGAGCCACCAGTCCTGGCCATATCTTTTGTGAGTCTACAAAGACCTCACTGGTAAAGCCATTGGCGTCCTGAAGTTTTCTATGGGGGATGATTTTTCAACTATTGGTTTTAGTACAATAGCCAATAGCTATTGAGCATCTAAAAGAAAAAAGTTATTGGAATTTACCACAAGCCATACACGAATATCAGTTCCAAGTGGATTAAAATAAAGTACATTTTGTATTTCTTACTGATTTAGTTTTGGTAAATTATATTTTTCACTAGGAAAAATTTTCCATTTCATTCAGATTTTCAAATTTATTGCCACAAAGTTGTGTGTAATATTTTATTATTTAATACAAAGTTGTGTGTGATATTTTATTATTTAATACTTGTAGTATTTTTTCAAGATGACTTTTTTATTCCTGATATTATTTGTGCCTTCTCTTTTTGATTAACTTATCAGAAGTTGATCAGTTTTATCATTATTTGGAAAGGATCAACTCTTATCGATCTTTCTACTGTCTGTGTATTCATTATTTCATTAGTTTCTGGTCTCAGTTTTATTATTATTTTCTTCTTTTTTTGTGACTTTTTTTAAAGGTTATTTTTCCCAATTCTTGAGATAGGTCTTTAGCTTATTATCTTTTCAGCTTTTAAGGCTAAAAAAAAAAATCCCTGTAAATATTAGTTTAGCTGTATCCTGCAAAAATTGATATTGCTAATTTTCCTTCTTTTTTGGCCTCTCGCCTTTTATTGTCATAATTTGAGTTTTATTTTTTAAAAAACTTTATCAATACTTACCTAGCAAGGGAGATATCATGATCATGAAGGTCGTTTTCCCAGGGCAAGGCTTATCCATTGCATTCTGGATGTGCTGACCCCTGCGATTTTCCCAGATGTGGGAAACTCGACTGCATAATTTGTGGTAGTGGGGGATTGTGTTTGCGCTCTTCCCTGAAAAAAACAACAAAAAAAGTCATTGAAGTATAATTGAGATATGTAAGTTGCATATATTTAAAGTTTACCATGTGATACATTTTGATATATGTTATATCATACTTGAGAAACTGTCACCACAATCAGGATAGTTAACATATCCATCACCTTCACAAGTTTCCCCCATTGTAATTCCTTCTTCCAGTTCCTCACCATGTCTCTCTCCAGATGACTACTGATCTATTTTTTATCCATATAATTTAGATTGCATTTTCAAATTTTACATGAATGGAATCCAATAGTAGGTACTCTTTTTTTTTCTGACTTCTTTCATTCAGCATAATTATTTGGAAACTCATCCATATTCTATATATCAATAATACATTCCTTTTTATCAGGGGTTAGCATTTTTTCTGTAAAGGTTAAGTAGTAAATATTACAGTTATTTGCAGGCCATATGATCTGTTTCAATAACTCAACTCTGCCATTGTAGAGTGGAAGCAGCCATGATAATATGTCAATACATGAGCCTGGCTATGTCCCAGTAAAACTTTCCACTGACATTTGAATCTCATATAATTTTCACTTTTCAAGAAATAGAATTCTTTTATCTCCTTTTTACAGATTTTAGAGTTGTAGCGTACAAGTGAGGATTTACTACATAAGTAGGTGGCATGCAGGTTAAGTTCAGGCTGGTAGCTGGCTCTTTCTCCTCCTCATAGTGGCTCAGGTACCCATTGGTACCACGTGACCCCTCTACCCTCCTCTTTCACTTCCTTCCCTAACAGTGCCCAGTGTCTGCCGATTTCACCCTGATGCTAAGTGAGAACATGCGGTATTCAGTTCTCTGTTTCTGTGATCATTCATTTAGTGTGATGATCTCCAACTGCATCCAAGTTGCTGTGAAGGCCATGATTTGGTTCTTTGTGGCTGCATAATTTTCCATTGTGTATATGTACCACATTTTCTTTATCCAGTCCACTTTAGATGGGCATCGAGGTTGGTTTCATGTTTTTTTCTGTTGTGAATTGCTGCAATATACATGCATGTGTAGGTGTCTTTTTGATGGAGAAACTTATGTTCCTCCGGGTATATTCACAGGAGAGGGATTGCTGGGTCAAAAAGAAGGTCAGTTTTTAGCTCTTTGAGAAACCACCACACTGCTCTCTATAGTGGTTGAACTAGCTTACATTCCCACCAACAGTGAGAAGCGTCCCTTTTTCTCTGCAGCCATGCCGGCACCTGTTGTTTTTTTGACGTATTAATGATAGCTGTCGTTACCGTTGTTAAGTGGTATCTCATTGTGGTTTTGACTTGCATTTCTCTGACAATTCATCTTTAACCATCATTTTTTAACCACTTAAACATGTAAAAGCTTTGCTTGTGGGCTATAGAAAAACAGGTCGCTGGCAGAACTGTTTGCTGACCCTGCTTTCTGTTGTTGAATAGCAGTATTTCATTCCATGTGTATAACCCAATTTGTTTATACATTTACATGCTGATGGATATTTGAGTTGTTCCCAGTTTTTAGTTATTATAACAAAGTTACCATGAACATATGTGTTCTTGGCCAAGGACATATGCTTTTTTCCCCTCTTGAATAAACACCTAGGCGTAGAGTTCCTGGAGCATTTGGTTAAGTACATATTTAATGTCTCGGGAAACATTAAGAAGTTGCCATGTATTCATTCTTTCTGTCTTTTCTGCCTGTTAGTATTTTTATTGCTTTTTTTCTCTTTAATTGTTTGGAAAGTATGCATTCTAATTTTAATTATTTTTGGTTATTCTTAAATTCCAAAGGAACTTTAATCATTTAATTTCTTTATTAGTTTGTTATTTTCTCTTCCCACCATAGGTAAGATTTTTTAACACTTTTTACTTCTGCCTTTTCTCTTTCCATCTTTCATGTATTGTTGAAACCATTGATTTAGTTTCTTATTGTTACTTGTTGTTTTTTTTTAATATACAAGGAGGGACCCCAAAAAACCGGAATTTATTTTTCTTTAATTGTATATTTATTATTACATGTTCAAACTTCAGTCACCTTCAAAGTACTCTCTATTTGATGCAATACACCTATTGAGACACTTTTTCCACTGCTTAAAACAGTTTTTGAACTCGTTAATTTTTTTCTTTTAAAGCAGGATTTATTGAGAAGGGAGAAAAGATCCCACAGTGGGAGGGGACCCGAGAGGGTTGCCCTGAACTCATAGATTTTTATGCCTTTTAGTGCTTCTGCTGTTTTTTGTTCCACCTATTCCACATTGGCAAGATATTTCCCTTTGAGCAGGAGTCCCCATACCTCAGGCCATAGACTGGGCATTAGGATCTCGAGGTGAGTGGCAGGAGGTGAGTGGCAGGAAAGTGAGCACTTCATCTGTATTTACAGCTGCTTCCCATCACGCCCATCACCACCTGAGCTCCACCTTCTGTCAGGTCAGGGCTGCATTAGATTCTTATAGGAGCATTAACCCTATTTTGAACCGTGTATGTGAGGAATCTAGATTGCACATTCCTTATGATAATCTATTACGTGATGATCCGACGTGGAGCTGAGGTAGTGATGCTAGTGCTAAGGAGTAGCTCCCAACACAGAGAAACTTTAACAGTGAGGTTTCACTGCACAGAGACCATCATAAATCAACTCCTTGCAGACTCATAGCAAAACCCTATCAGTGAGTGACAAGTGAGTTGATATGCTTCAAATGTACAGCTGCATCTGATGGCAGACTTTGAGTCAGAATCTGACACTTATTTTAGTCTGCATGTGGCCTGTCCATTATTTTATTTACCACTTTCATCCACGCCTCTTTTTTTAAGTTGTATAATTATTTCATCATATATTACAATGTAATAATAGAAATCAAGGGCACAATAAATGTTATGCATTTGAATCATCCCAAAACCATCACTCCCCTCTCCCTGCCTCCAGTCCACAAAAAGTTGTCTTCCCCGAAACTGGTCCCTGATGCCCAAAAGTTTGAGGACCACTGTTTTAGAGGATACTAATTAGAATACTTTGAAAGGTTTCTTCTGTTCTCTGAATTATCTCTGGATATTTCTGGTCTGTTCTTTCTTTGTTCATTTTTTTTTCCATTTATGTTGTTAACTTTTGATAAATATCTACTGGTCCTTGGGTTTCTGTTTGTATTTATTAATCAATGCTTAATTATTAATCATTGGATATTGGTAGCTAGCTGGTAAGGATTTGCTCTGAAATTAGATAGATGTATCTTTTTCTTCAACAGAGCTTTTCTCTAATCAGAAGGGCCGAATGTAGGCTCTGGGTTCATTTCTCCTGTAAGGAGCATAGATAATTGTTGGGCAAGGTTAGGACTTCCATGTTTACAAAAAGTTAGGAGGTGTTTAATTTGAGTAATGAAGATTATTTTATTTTTAAGAGGAAATGCCTTTCTACCTCCCACTCACCGTTTACCTCCACTGCTGTGGAAGCCTGGAATTACTTCGTGTTCTTTTTTTATCTTTTTCTTCAGCTCCAACATACATGCGAGGGACTCTGGTCTTTTTTTTTTTTTTTTTGGTCATTGGAGAAAGCATTTCTACTTTGAGGGGTTGCTGCAGGGAGCCTAGAGATTTGATGATAGCCTTGAAGATCACCCTTGCTTTCTTTATTTCTTATTCTTGAATTTGGATTTTTTCCAGACTTCTTTGGTGAAAAAATCACTCTTCTGCAGTAATCTTCTTCTTAGTATGTATTTTTTGTATGACTCTTATCCCATTTGTTTTTATTTTTTCATGAATTAATAAAACATTTTTATATCATTTTTGTTCCCAGAACTGCTATTTAAAAAAATCTTTTCCATTATAGAAAGGAGGAGCAATATACTTGTGCTTAGTCTGCCATTTGAAGCTTGAAGACCATCAAGTCTTTTATGATCACATAAGGAATGAGTAAATGTTTTCTGATGAAATAATAGTTATAAGCAAAAATAAAATAACTGTAACTTCTGTCATTAAATATATTTTACCATCAGTTCTCTCTAGGAGTTGAAAGACGGGTAGATCGATTTCTTTCCACCCTGGTTGTATGGCATACTTTCATGAGGTTGTAGCAGGCAAAGAGTCACCCTCCATATGGCCATGCATATATTAGCATTACTAGTATTATTATAAAAGAAGTTCGAAAATTCACTCACAAAATATAAATGTACTGAAATAAAATGAAAAAGTAACCAGCAGATTTAAGAATCAGAATCTGAGTGCTGGAAAACAATTCATGAGTTTCTCACATTTCTGCATGTCTTGCAAGGAGAGGTACTGACTGCCCTGTTCTGGACTACCCTTTTTAAAGATGTTTAAATAGCAAACAGCCTTAGAAACTAGAAGTAGTGTCTTCCTCTGGAGCAAAAGTTAGACATGTTTGCTTATTTCTCACTATAAAATATTTAGGTTGCCTGGGCATGAGGTTCCTCAGCTGTGATGCATATCTACTGTGCTCAGAATCCACTTGACCCCTCAACCCTCCCATGGGATGTGGGGAGGGAGTAGAACCATGCAAACAGGAAGCTTATGCTATGTCATGAGTAATAAAGTCCTTTGTCTCTGATGCAGGAATTGTGTCTTCTGCCAGTGGTTGTGAAACCATGGCAGGATAACTTGCTAGCTCTTGAGTAGGGTAACATCTGAGACCCTTTACACTGCATTATTAAATTAAAAAGTGAGAACACACTTAACCTATCTGAGCCCATTAGTAGCATAAATCCAAATGTTTTCAATAAGAACACATGATAGTTCTTTAGAAAACATATGCTCTTTATTTTACAGTGTTTTTTTCTTTTCTTTTCATATTAGTGCTGAGTTTCATGAGCGGCTAAGTAAAATTGATAAGCTGAAGAACAGATATGAAATTCTTACTGTCGTTATGTTGCCTCCTGAGGGAGAAGAGGAGAAAACACAGGCCTATTATGTAATCAAGGTAATTTTAATTGATCTACAGCTGTGATCATATGCAGTATCCTTTGTTAATCCATTCACCATAATCCTCTGAATTTAAAAGAAACAAAATGGCAAATTCTCCCCCATGAAATCTAGCAACTGTTTCACCTAATTAGGGCCATTCACTATGGCATTTAATAGGGCCAAAATATTAGTTGCTAAATGGAGATTCTGACACACTCTTAGATCTACACAGAGGTCAAAGCACTGCCCTCTGATTCCCAAAACCTACTCCTGACTTCCTCCAGAACCCTTCTTATTTTGAATTTAGGTCATTCCACTTGACCACTATTTGGCACCCTCTCTTTGTTTTCTTCTGATTATTTGTGTCATGTCATTTCCCCTAATTTAGTCAAGATTTATAATCTTTTTATTTATTTATTTATTTATTTATTTATTTATTTATTTATTTATTTATTTATTTTTGAGTCGGAATCTCACTCTGTTGCCCAGGCTGGAGTGCAGTGGCACACTCACGGCCACCCCAGTGTCGACCTGGTGAGCTCCGGTGATTTTTCCACCTCAGCTTTCCAAGTTGCCAGAACTACAGGCACGTGCTACCACGCCTGGCCAATTTTTTGATTTATTGTAGAGATGAGGTCTCACCAAGTTGCCCAGGCTGGTCTCGAACCTGTAGGCTCAGGTAATCCCCTCACCTCAGCCTCCCAAAGTGCTGAGATTACAGGCTTGAGCCACCGTACCTGGCCTGTAATCTCTTTTACTCTGAGACCTATTGTCACTCTGGCACCTTTCAGTATGCATGTGAGGACCTGTTCAACACCTGGGCCTCAAAACTTTACTTCACTATAGTCACCCACTCTTATGCAACACCCTTGACCTTTGTCATCCCCTGGAGCTACCTCTGAACCTTAACCACCATTTACCACTGCGGTCTTGTGGCATCTGTTCAGAGAGGAAAAAGGCTGCTCCCCTGCCTTCATGTTATACAGGAAACAGATCAGGTACATCTATTTTTTTCTGATGTCTGAAAGTTGTCTGCCACCCCATAGTTTCCTTTACCTAGTAATCTGTAAAGACACATTCATAAGTGATCAGGAATTGGATGCAATTCTTTTCCTGAGCACTGCTATGTTTATTTTTCCCATGTAGAAAATATCCCAAACAAGTGTGATTTCCTTTACAGAAAGGTCTGGGAAATTACTCAACACACAAGCAAGGAACGGAAACCATAACTTCGACTCATTTCCCTATACCATACGTGGACAGGGTGGGAAGGAGATCTCCCAATCCACACCTTCAGAGGATGGCTCTTGTGGATCCTCTCTCTCTGACTTCTATCACTTAATCTCCCAAGTTTTCTTCTGCAACTCTTCTTCAAGTCTGTCTCTAATACATACACTAAGTGTGGTATGCTGCCACTTTGCTCCTGGAAATCCTGCCATACCTATGAAAAATCAGCCCCAGCTCTCAAAACTTTCTTAGAACTTGTCATTTTGTAGTACTTCAGGCTTTTGCCCAGTACTAGTGGTACTTTTCTCCTCCCAGGTTTTGAAGTTTCCCAAAGGATAAAGAGTAGGCACTAGTCTGTTAGGTGTTGTGAAGAAGGTAGATATTTTGATTCCAGTTAAGTTTCTCTGACAATAAGGGCTGTGATGGCTTACCTAAAAGCACTAGTGTTAATAGTGCCTTCATTCATATCTTGGCTTTACCACTGACTGGGTAGATGACTTGGAATTAGTTGTTGAACCACTTTCCTCACTTGCAAGATGAGGGTGATAATATTGTCACTTTTGTTGGGAGAAATGAGAAAATAAGTAAAGATCTTAGAACAGTGCTTGGTAGAAAATGAGTCCCTAGTACATGTTAGCTATCCTTATCATTATTGCTGTGATGATACCGTTTAACCTATTTCTCAGGAAATCAGACAAATTTTATATGAGGAAAGAGTATTCCTTCGGTTTACAGCAAAAGTGCTGGACAAATATCAGTATGACGATGATGCTAAAATGAACTTGTGCTACCAGTTACCTTAATCCATTTCCTGATGCCATACTTCTTTACCTCCCATCTTCTCTGGGATCCATAGCTTGCCACACAGCTATTCCCAATTTTTGTTGTATAACATGTTTAACTTTTTACCCGTAACATTTCACAAGTCTCAGATGTGTAAAACAATGAAACTTTATTTCTTTACAACTAAACTCAGTCTAGCTGATATCAGAAAACATGATCTATGGCCTGAAAATGGAGAAAAGCAGTCACCGGGTGCAGTGATGCCATTGCATGGTGACATCAAAGTCTTTGCATTTTCTAGTGGTCCCTCCAGCGATTATTTGCTTCTATAGGAGGACCCACCCTTTGGCTTTCTATTGACTGATTTATTTTACAACTCTGTAGGTGTAGATGAAACCTGTATATACCTGATAGTAACTCAGATTGTTCTTGCAGCTAGCAATGCAAATGAATTTGGGCCAGTAGAAATCTATAGAAAAGATAACTCAAGCATTATAGTTTATTACCTTAAAAGATATTAATTTGTTTTGCATCTACCAGCAAATTCATTTCAGTTTCTGACTGCATGTGCCCATATAAAATCTGTTCTTCAGTTTCTCCTTTGAAGCAGTCTAAACATCTTACTAGTTCCTTCATTAGTAAGTTGAATAAAATCTTTGACAAATGTTCATTTTACATTTGTATGAGAATTTTTAACTATCTGAAGATAATCCTTTGGCATTTTCACTGCTGGGACAAACTTAAATTTGCCAGTTAGAAGTTAATTTTTGTTTTTCAGTATGGTCCTGTTTTTCAGTGTGGTGGATTCTGTTTTGTAATGTGGTAGAGTTGGGATTTACATTAGTCACTTCAAGATTCTCTCCCTTCCCTTATTGCTCTTACATTCTCCACAAAGAAATCCCTTATGATGGACACATACTATTTTTATACCTCTGGGTAAGAGGAATTTACAATGCCATCCATTGTTCTCAACAAACTATGGACTTCAGCCAAATGCTGCCCATTTGCTCTGTAAATAAGTATTGGAAGACACAACATATAAACAATTCACACAAAAATGGGAAGACACAATGTATGAACTCATTCATTTATGTATTGTTTATGGATGTTTTCATGCTGCAATGGACAAATAGTTCTGATGTAGGCTGAATGACCCATAAAGTTGAATTTCTCTCTGACTCCTTACCTAAAAAACTTTCCGATCTCTTTTATCAGTTTCTTGGAGCTGCTGTAACAAAATACCACAAAGTGAATGGCTTAAATAACAAAAATTTATTGTTTCATACTTCTGGAGTCTAGTTCAAGATGAAGGTATTTTTAGTGTTGGTTTCTTCTGAGGGCCGTAAGAAAGACTCTGTTCTGTGCCCCTCTCTTATGGGTGACTGACAATCTTTGGTGTTCCTTGACTTGTAGATGCATCATCATGATATTTACCTTCAACTTTATATGGTATTCTCTATGTCTCTTCACATGGTCTTACCTCAGTCTAAATTTCCCACTTTTATAAGAACACCAGTTGTATAAGATTAGGGCCCTCCCTAATGGCCTCATTGTAACTTGACTATATTTACAAAGATTCTGTTTCTAAACAGGTCATTCTCAAAGTTACTGTGGGTTAAGATATTAGCATATCTTTCTTTCAGGGACACAGTTTAATCTATAGCCCCCATTTTTGGTCCTGCAGTAAACTTTGGTCTCTGGGGCACACATGGTTTTCCTTTTACTAACCCTAACATCTTATAGTATCTGACCCTTAGGTGCCAGACTGAAAAATATAATCAGTAACCCATGAAGGACTTGTATCTTTCAAATCTCATTTCCAATTTCCTCTTATTCTTTATAAGGAATCAGTCTAGTTCTGACCACAACTTAATGAAACTATCAATTAAGTTCTTGAAAATGCTTTGGAATGTTGGACAAGATGTTATAAAAGGCATATATAATATAATCTCTGATTTAAAAGTGAATGGATTCAGAATTATAAAATTTCAAGCTGTACAAGGAATTAGGTCAGAAATTTGTACAAGATGAGCAAATCCAACACTTTCACTTAAGAAATAAACCGAACTCAGAGAAAAGGATTTATTTAATGTCAGTCAACTCACTGGTAGTACGTCCCATATCACACCAGCTGTTCAAGGAACTGAGAACCTGCCTACATGCCCAGCACACTGCTCCCATAACCAGTGTGTGAGTAAACCACCTGGAGGCCCAAGAATTGGTCTTCCAGGACCAATGAACACTGATGACAGCAGTGTAAGCTGTTCTGGGGCCAAAAGAACAAACACACTCAGCCCATCACTGTCACCCCCAGGGCGCAAAGATGACCTCACTTGGCATCCTAGACCCCAGCCTCAATGAATAACCATGTCCTTCACTGAGGAAATCAGAGATGCCACAGATCGTGTGTACTGCTAAGAAATCATACAGAAATTTACACTATTACAGGCACCCAAAATCAAAGCCAAAGCATTCTACTCAACCAACTACATATGTACATCATCAGGAAAAATCATCCCCTAGGAAAGCAATTTCACATAATTAGAAGAAGTGACTGTTATACCAGATGCATAGATATCAATGCAAGAACACAGGTGACATGAAAAAGGAAATATGACACCATCAAATGACCACAACAATTATCCAGCAACAGGTCCCAATCAAAAAGAAATCCTCAAAATGTCAGGTAAAGAATCCAAAATATTGATTTTAAAGAACCTCGATGACATGCAAGACAAATCTAGAAAGCAGTACAAAGAAATCAGAAAACCAATTCAGGATATGAACAAGATATTTACTGAGGAGATCAATAGTTTGAAAAAAAGAGAGAGGAGGCAAGATAGCGATGGAACTGGTGGGAGTATGAATGTCTCAAGGCCGAATGTCTATAAAGACAGTCTGGTGAGCGAGTGAGTGCAGCTGAGTGAGTGAAAGTCTGTCTGCAGGGAGACTCAGGATCAAACACCCAGGGCTCCACTCTGGAGGCAGCTGCAACCCACTACTACC